GCGGCTTCATTTGCCTAATCCTCCCCCAGGTTCAAAGAGTTCTCATGAACTAAGTTCTCATGAACCTTTGTGGGAAAAGTACTGCGGTGTGAATGCGCCTAATGGTATACTAAAATCCATGTGAAAAAAAATTGCTTCTCACTGTTCTCAGGTCAAATATTTATATGTGATTAAAAATGCGATTAATTTCGATTAATTAATTACAAAGCCTCTAATTACTTAGATTAATTTTTTTAATCGAGTCCCGGCCCTAGTATTTACTAATTATTAATTGTTTTATCCCGTGCTCCAGGTAATGACTCTGATTCAGGACATCCCTGTTCCGGTCATCGCCATGGTGAACGGCGTTGCCACGGCGGCCGGTTGTCAGTTGGTCGCCAGCTGTGATGTTGCCGTGGCGACGGAGCAGTCCACTTTCGCCACCCCGGGGGTGAACGTCGGTTTGTTCTGTTCCACGCCGGCCGTCGCCATCGGAAGAGCCGTGCCCAGGAAGGTGAGATTATATCAATAGTAATAAGATTCATTTATTTACCTTTTTATGCATTAAAAACTTTGAGTATTATATATATAATTTAAAAAACCTTCTGAACAATTAGCATACTGTATTATTGTCTCAAAAATAATAATGGTATGTGCTAATAAATAAATGTTATGGCATATTTTTGTCAAATGATTCAATATTATGTATTTAAAATATTTGTATTTCAACTATAAAACACATATACGTTTAGAGATATATACAAAATATAATATATATAGATTATATATAGAAATATAAGAGTACAATTTTTTCATTTCGTGTAAGTAAATTAAGAAAATGTCAATTTAAAGAAGAAATAATCATTTCATTTAATAATTAAAAAGACAAATGTGTTTATTTTCTAAATATAAAAAACAGACACATCCAACAAATGTAAATTATAATTTTCCATTAATGTTATTTGTATTTATTGAGGTAGCAGCCAATAAGAACATCCAATTTTCCGTCCTGATTGCTCCCCTCTTTCTAAACAGGTTGCTATGGAGATGCTGTTAACAGGAAGTCCCCTCTCGGCCCATAATGCATTGCTGCACGGTCTCATCAGTAAGGTGGTGCCGGAGGATCGTCTGGAGGAGGAAACGTTATTGATCGCTCAGAGAATCTGTCAGGCGAGTCGCCCGGTCGTCGCCCTCGGGAAGGCCACGTTCCAGAGGTGAGATTTTAAAGAGTCCCTGTAAAACTTTCTGGGATTTTCCCTTTTCCTGTAGTGAGTTATATAGGTTTTAGTGCATGTAAATGGTCTGCAAAGGCTAAAATACACCTGAACATGAGCAGGAGAGGACTCTTTAAAGTAGAGACACTACATACTGATATACACCTGAACATCAGCAGGAGAGGACTCTTTAAAGTAGAGACACTACATACTGATATACACCTGAACATCAGCAGGAGAGGACTCTTTAAAGTAGAGACACTACATACTGATATACACCTGAACATCAGCAGGAGAGGACTCTTTAAAGTAGAGACACTACATACTGATATTCACCTGAACATCAGCAGGAGAGGACTCTTTAAAGTAGAGACACTACATACAGATATACACCTGAACATCAGCAGGAGAGGACTCTTTAAAGTAGAGACACTACATACTGATATACACCTGAACATCAGCAGGGGAGGACTCTTTAAAGTAGAGACGCTACATACTGATATACACCTGAACATCAGCAGGAGAGGACTCTTTAAAGTAGAGACACTACATACTGATATCCACCTGAACATCAGCAGGAGAGGACTCTTTAAAGTAGAGACACTACATACTGATATACACCTGAACATCAGCAGGAGAGGACTCTTTAAAGTAGAGACACTACATACTGATATACACCTGAACATCAGCAGGAGAGGACTCTTTAAAGTGGAGACACTACATACTGATATGCACCTGAACATCAGCAGGAGAGGACTCTTTAAAGTAGAGACACTACATACTGATATACACCTGAACATCAGCAGGAGAGGACTCTTTAAAGTAGAGACACTACGTGCTGATATACACCTGAACATCAGCAGGAGAGGACTCTTTAAAGTAGAGACACTACATGCTGATATACACCTGAACATCAGCAGGATAGAACTCTTTAAAGTAGAGGCACTACATGCTGATATACACCTGAACATCAGCAGGAGAGAACTCTTTAAAGTAGAGACACCACATACTGATATACACCTGAACATCAGCAGGAGAGGACTCTTTAAAGTAGAGACACTACATACTGATATACACCTGAACATCAGCAGGAGAGGACTCTTTAAAGTAGAGACACTACATACTGATATACACCTGAACATCAGCAGGAGAGGACTCTTTAAAGTAGAGACACTACATACTGATATACACCTGAACATCAGCAGGAGAGGACTCTTTAAAGTAGAGACACTACATACTGATATACACCTGAACATCAGCAGGAGAGGACTCTTTAAAGTAGAGACGCTACATACTGATATACACCTGAACATGAGCAGGAGAGGACTCTTTAAAGTAGAGACGCTACATACTGATATACACCTGAACATCAGCAGGGGAGGACTCTTTAAAGTAGAGACGCTACATACTGATATACACCTGAACATCAGCAGGAGAGGACTCTTTAAAGTAGAGACGCTACATACTGATATCCACCTGAACATCAGCAGGAGAGGACTCTTTAAAGTAGAGACACTACATACTGATATACACCTGAACATCAGCAGGAGAGGACTCTTTAAAGTAGAGACACTACATACTGATATACACCTGAACATCAGCAGGAGAGGACTCTTTAAAGTAGAGACACTACATACTGATATACACCTGAACATCAGCAGGAGAGGACTCTTTAAAGTAGAGACACTACACACTGATATACACCTGCACATCAGCAGGAGAGGACTCTTTAAAGTAGAGACGCTACATACTGATATACACCTGAACATCAGCAGGGGAGGACTCTTTAAAGTAGAGACGCTACATACTGATATACACCTGGACATCAGCAGGAGAGGACTCTTTAAAGTAGAGACACTACATACTGATATCCACCTGAACATCAGCAGGAGAGGACTCTTTAAAGTAGAGACACTACATACTGATATCCACCTGAACATCAGCAGGAGAGGACTCTTTAAAGTAGAGACACTACATACTGATATCCACCTGAACATCAGCAGGAGAGGACTCTTTAAAGTAGATACACTACATACTGATATACACCTGAACATCAGCAGGAGAGGACTCTTTAAAGTAGAGACACTACATACTGATATACACCTGAACATCAGCAGGAGAGGACTCTTTAAAGTAGAGACACTACATACTGATCTACACCTGAACATGAGCAGGAGAGGACTCTTTAAAGTAGAGACACTACATACTGATATACACCTGAACATCAGCAGGGGAGGACTCTTTAAAGTAGAGACGCTACATACTGATATACACCTGAACATCAGCAGGAGAGGACTCTTTAAAGTAGAGACGCTACATACTGATATCCACCTGAACATCAGCAGGAGAGGACTCTTTAAAGTAGAGACACTACATACTGATATACACCTGAACATCAGCAGGAGAGGACTCTTTAAAGTAGAGACACTACATACTGATATACACCTGAACATCAGCAGGAGAGGACTCTTTAAAGTAGAGACACTACATACTGATATCCACCTGAACATCAGCAGGAGAGGACTCTTTAAAGTAGAGACACTACATACTGATATACACCTGAACATCAGCAGGAGAGGACTCTTTAAAGTAGAGACACTACATACTGATATACACCTGAACATCAGCAGGAGAGGACTCTTTAAAGTAGAGACACTACATACTGATATACACCTGAACATCAGCAGGAGAGGACTCTTTAAAGTAGAGACACTACATACTGATATACACCTGAACATCAGCAGGAGAGGACTCTTTAAAGTAGAGACACTACATACTGATATACACCTGAACATCAGCAGGAGAGAACTCTTTAAAGTAGAGGCACTACATGCTGATATACAGCTGAACATCAGCAGGAGAGGACTCTTTAAAGTAGAGACACTACATACTGATATACACCTGAACATCAGCAGGAGAGGACTCTTTAAAGCACCACAAGGCGACCCTAAAGTCGTCATATTTGGTATCTGGTGAAGAATATCATGATATTTGATGTAAACACCCAGCTCTATTGTGTCCTCTGTTCTTCCTCCACAGACAAATGTCTCAGGGTCGAGACGCCGCATACGCCACGGCTTCCAGAGTGATGGTGGACAACCTGGCGCTGAGAGACGGACAGGAGGGGATCCGAGCGTTCATCGAGAAACGAAAACCAGTGTGGAGCAATAAAGCAGAGAAAGCCCACGACTGATGGACTGTTGACTCTAATAGAGGAGATGTTACCAGTCTCAAGAGAATGGGAGGGATATCCTACTTTTAAAAAATGTAGATTTGTAATTGGAGACGATTAAAGTGTGAATTGTTGACTCGATGAACCGTTGTGTGCCTTAGAATCTGCAGTGTGGAGATGAGAAGGAAATTAATCTCTAATGACGAAATGGACTAAGAATGCTGCTCTCTGTATTATTGTAAATACAATAAATAAGATTACAAATTACATTTTGTTTTATATATTCGACATACTATACTATGACTTTTTTATACTTGTAAACATTTTTTTTTTTAAAACAAGAAAGTATAGTTATCTAAAGAAAGTCAGAAAATATGACAAAGATTAGATACAACTTTATCGTTATTGCACATTGTACAAGAAATTCACTTCGCATCAACCAGTAAGTCAAAAGTTTAGATAAATTGCATTTGATTAATTTCACACACAGTATATTGGTTACAATACAAACAAGTTGATGCATCTACGAGGCGAGGAGCAGACCAGAGGCTCATCTCAATTGAATATTTCACCTCCTCCTTTCCCTCACTCGCTTCCCTTCCTTGCGTCTTAGCTCCGTAAGATGCGAGCGAGAGACACGAGGAGTCCTCAGGTATTAATTGGGATGTCCTCGTTCACTCAAACGCCACTTTCAAACTGTTAATGATGACATGTGCACAGCTGTATCCCCTCTCATCGGGCTGAACTGAAGAACCCTTAGAACCGGCCCATTTGTTAAATATTTATTTAAATGAATCTTTCTCTCGTTAGTCAAGGAACTCAATGTATGATGGTTGGTCCTGCTTTTGTGTTCCGTTTGGTGTAAAATGTACATTTAAATACACATATAATGATAGTGAAAGCCTTTACTCTGAAAATGTGTGTCCTGTAGATCCCCACATTCAGGACTGTGCATTTTAAATAATTTAACTACTGAATATTTGAACACAAAATTATAAAATAATTGTTATTTATCAAGATCTAGCCATTTATGAAAAAGCTTTCTTAATAACTATGTTTTAGTGACGTTTAAGATCTTTAAACATTACTTAAATTGTTGGTATAACCTTAAGAAATGAATTGCACATAAGCTGTGAGCACTTAGATTTATGTGACGCTTTTCCACTCATCTTCCAGTTCTCCGTTTTCCTGGGTTGAAATCGACCAGCTGTGAAGGTGGGGGCGGGGCTTATATACGCGAGTAGTGAAAACACTTCCGCGTAGTCAGCTCTCGTGGATCCTCCCTTTCGTCTCCTTCCTCACCCCCTCCTCGACTCCTCCGTGTGCATTTCAGCGATTGGGACGTCCTTCAACATGGCGTGTCTTGATCGATTTCCGGCTCAAGTCCCGGAGGAGGGGGAGAGAGGAGTCGAGGAGGGGTATTGAGACGAACCTAGGTCGTATAAACATGGAACGTTCCGACACCTTCCGGTAATCAGCAATGCGCGCTTTGGTCCTGGTGGTGTTAAAAAGGTTGTCGTTGCCATGACGATTCATAGTTGTCACTAATAAGACCTTCCACATTGATGATGGCATCTAATATGGCAAAAATGTCTTGTATGGTGAAAATATGAGATGACATATCAATGTACAACACATATCCCAAAAAAACACGTTTTAGATGCTTTCTAGTTTGACGAGTAAAATTAAATGGAGAACAAATGTTAGTTTAAGAGACTAACAGACCAAATCTACCACAAACACACTGCTGGTTGTTTTCCTTCTCAAGTGATATCCTTTCCACTGATGTTTAATTTGAGAAATCCATTATTAGAACAGTCTTACATAAGGTACTATTTGATGTCACAGTGAAAATGTAACGTAATACAGCCTCAGTGCTCCGCTCCTAAAATAGTGTGTGATTTCAGTCGTTCAGAATAGTGTTCCCGGCTCAGTCCAGATAACAGCGTGCACTTTGTTCAGACGACAGTGCAATTACTTTCTTAGGTCGAATCAGGTGACGGAGCCAAAAGCGACGTAGACTTCACCTTAAAGCTGCTTTTCTCTAACTCTAGTGGGAAATAATGCAAATCAAGACTCTTCAAGCTAAAATACCTGCAGTACAGATCTTGCCAGGGTGGAAAAAATGCATTTCTGTTTGATAAGAAAAGGATCTCATTGTACTTCGAACAAGAAGATGCAGTTTAAAAACATATCTATATATTCTTAGGGAAACCCAGCCCTTAAAAACACAACTATTGCCAAAATAGAACATTTAAATATTCTGTTAAGTTAGAATCCGTCAAAAATGAGGAAACACTTTTTTTGCCAGCAGGATTAAAAGTGAACTTCATATGAATACAAAAACAACATGTCAAGTTTATTCATTTTTATTAAGCAATACTGTTCACTTACATTCCTCCTTCTCCAGTGTATCTCTTTTTTTTATTCAATATATTTTTTCAAAAAGAAAAACAACAACATGGTTAGATCCGTGATGATCAGGAGTAACATCGACCCGACGAGGGAACCAAATAAAAACAAAAATGGACACAGCATTAGGATCCGACGGGTAAAGGGTGAACTCCGCTGTGCTCTGACTACACCCCCTGTAAACAACCGGAGAACTCAAGCAGGTACAACACATCCTTCCGTTTGTAAAAAGGAGACGGAGAGGGGGGGGGGGGGGGGGGGGGGGCACTAATCGCTCTGCCGGGGGGCTTCTGGCACACAGGGGATTGGTCACAATTGATTTTTAACAAAGTGCTTGATTGACCACTCGCTTTACAGAGGAGAAAACAACGAGATAAAACGGTAGCTCTCAAAGGAAAAACGGGGGGGGGGGGGGGGGGGGGAAATTAAGTTACGGCTTTCTGAAAAAAGATTGTTTTTAAAAAACACCAGCTCTACACGCACGCACAAGCTAAAAATGGTAATGAGAGGGGGTGAAAACAGCTCTGATTATTTAAGGCAGGTCTCTGGAAGGCGTTAAAAAAGTCCGTTGCTGTAAGCTCTCAACAGTTAGTCCAAAGTGTCTCAGTGTGGCTTTGCGTGAAGACATCATCCTGAGTGCATTGTGTAAATGTGTCCATCTTTATACGTTTAAATGTGCATGTGATAACGTGTGTGTGTGTGTGTGTATATATGCTTTGGGTTGGCCCTCACACCGCTAGGCTGGGTGCTCCTCGGGGTCCTTGTACCAGACGACCTTTTTCAGACCTGCAGAAAGAGCAAGAAATAGATGTCAACGGGAGAGAACTGGAGAGCCTCAATGTAAACAGACAATAACTGTGTGTGTGTGTGTGTGTGTGAGAAAAGGGAAGCCACATGGTAATATACTGTTGCTACTTTAATAGGATCATTATAGTTTGAATATCTGCAATGAATGTACTTCATTATTTGCTTTTGTGAATTACACTTGGATTAAAGCATGTTCATTTAAGTTCACTTTTAAGTTGAGGACGTTCATGTCGATCGTTTGCCGCCTGGATCGCGACGAAGGGAAGTGGATTTTTATTTTAGAAACCGACTAAAAGGCCACAGCAGGAAGTCGTTCTGAACTCTGCGTAAAGCCGGGACACGTTGAGACAAATCGGAGCTTTAAATCAGAAGCCATTTTCCATGTAACCATCGTCCAAGTGTTTCGTGAGTGCTTTGAGTCCACGTACCTTTTTTCTGTTTGTTACAGATAGCGTTCCATTCTGAGGAGAGAAGACGGAAGGAGAATTAAAGCACTGAAATTAAAGGTTTTTTACATTTAGCTGTCGTCGTTATTCTAAAAATGGACTTGCAAACAAATCAATAAGTGCAACCATTAAGACACAAACTCAAAGCGAGAATCGGGTACATTTCCCGTCTCTAAGCCCAAGCAGATTTAAGTGCTACTGCATTAGCTTCACTTAAAGACAGACGCGCTACGTACAGAAGAGATCTTGTTTTGTTAGAACTGATGTATTCAAACGGATTTGTTTTCAGTCTGCGTGTAGACTCTTCATTTCTTTGAGCTAACGATATGTCGAAAATATGAGAACTAGATAATAAGTTCAAAAGATTACAAAACCCCTCCTTATAGTGTGTCGAACATACGAGGGGGAAAAACACAGTATAGTACGTCAGAAATATCTGAGACGTCTACAACAAGTTACGTAATGCCATAGCTCAAAGCTTTACGTGCGACTGCAGCAGCTTCACTTCAAGCGCTACGCACAGAAGACATTTTATTTTGACTTTAGCAAAGATGCAGTCGAACAGATTGGTTTTCAGACCGTGTGTAGACTTCATTCAGAGTGAAGTATCCACAATATGACTAGATAGTATAATAAGTTCAAAAAGACATAATTATAGTGTTGAAAATATGAGGGGGGAAACACAGTAAGTCAAATGTCTGAGAAGTCGACAACAAGTTACACATTTTGTAATTTAAATAAACCACCCGACAGTTGTGCTCACCTCTACTGTGATAGTTCAAAGCTTCCACTAGGTGGCGACAGCTGAGCAGCAGCTTCCCGTTGCCCTCGTCCTCCTCTGGGCGCGTGTTGGTGTTTGGGGGAACAGCGGTAGCGACGGGAGTTTCTTCCGGAAGCGTCTGTGGATCTGCTGGCTGTTGTTGGGCGTCTGTGGTTGTGGAGGCGGCGTTCCGGCTCTCTCCAGGCGGCCTGGCCTCGCTGATGAAACTGAGCCCCCACTGGTTCTGCAGCAGCACCCCAATGGCCGGGCGTTCCTCCTCCTCCAGCCCCCCAATGGCCGCTCTCGCCTTCACCTTGGAGGCGTAGCTGACGGCCGGCTGCAGCTTGGCGGGGCTGTCCTGCACCGGGAAGGCAGGCGGAGGTTTGAGCAGCGACAGACTGTCTTCAACCCACCTCTCCTTCTGGTTCTGGTGGACTTTTGATGCCCGCCCGACCCCCTTTTGGCTCTCTCTACGGAGGCTTCGGCCTTTGTGCTGCTGGTGCTTGCGCTCTTTGTCTCTGCTGCTAAAGGTGTGCACGTGGCGGATCAGCTCGCCTTCGGGTAAAATGCTCCGGGGTTGAGGTTGGTCTCCTCCTCCCCCAGAGATGCAGCTTCCTCCTCCCCCACCACAGTTCCCAGAGCCAGGTGACAGGCGACGGTTGCGAATGTGAGGCTCTGAGTTTGTGGATGCAACGAGGACAGCTGGATCGCACAGAGTGTCGGACTCACACACAGGGTTGCTGGCTTCCCATGTACCTGGAAGAGATGTTTGATAAGTTACTTTTGCGATGTATCATGCTCACATAAAGATATCTAAATGAAAATGAGGTCAGATGTCTGCTGAATGTACCGATACCCCGTGTGTGATAGGTTGTGGTTGCAGTAGCCGTAGCACTGTCATGCTCACATAAAGATATCTAAATGAAAATGAGTCGACTCTTAACAGACCACCATGCGGTTTCTTGCGTGCTGCATGAATGTGTTATTTCCTGATAAAGGCATATTTTTAAATGTCTGCACACGGTTATTCTAGACAGTCAAAAACGATATGATGTTAGTGCTCTTATTGTAGTGAGATCAGTTACTGAAACTATTTGCTTGATAAAATGAGCCGTTGTGAGCTTTAGGATAACCGCCTCAGTGAATTTACATAAATCTATTTCATATTTTTAACAGAAAGGATCATTTGTAGCGTAACAGGCAAGTCCTGGACTTATTCCACAGCAATGCTTATATTACCTCGATGTGATGAACAGACATGTTTCGGTTCTCTGTGATTTATTAGGATACCATTACCCAGGTCTGAGGTTCAGAGAAACAACTCTACCCATCTCTGCCCGGTTGCTTTTGTTTAACAGTGAGATTCTTGTCCACACACACAGTGAAAGGTGTGTCACTCCACAAGACTCTTTACTTTGCACGGGATCATGAAAGGATTTCCCCACAGCTTCAATAAAACAAACATCAGGAAGTTATGGCACATGATCACATGATTCCTCTGATGTGAAGATACCAGGGTATTCAAATGGTGTTATCGTGCCATGTAGATGAGTGCGTCTACGGTACTGAAAGTCATTTGCATAGGTGTGTGTGTGTGTGTGTGTGAGTTTAACATACAGGGAGAAGCAACTACAGTATGTTCATTCTTTAAAAGCTTATACTGTAGTTTAAAAGCACTGTCCTCTTATCACATTCACTGGGTCATGAGATGATGAAGAGGAATACTCTGTTACTCAAGTAAAGGTAGAAGTACTCAGATCTTGTACTTGAGTAAAAGTAGAAGTACTCAGATATTGTTCTTGAGTAAAAGTACTCAGGGTAGCTTGTGAATGTACTCCAGGTGAAACTAAAGTCTGATTTAACACTTGATTATATATATCATATATCATTAATCCAAATCTGTAAATTGACTCAAAAAGGTATTAAATAAATGTAGTGAGGTAGAAGTACAAAGTAGCCTAAATGGAGATACTCAAGTAAAGTACAAGTATCTTAAAATTGTGCTTAAGTAGTGTACTTGAGTTAATGTACTTAGTTACTTTACACCACTGGTTATATATAGTCTTACATAACCTGTAGGGTCACAAACCCGATTAAGAAAAAGGACACTCGGCCTGAACAGCGTGCTGCTCAAAGCGCTTCATATTAAACAAAATGGAGAGGGTTGCTAATCCAGGTTATCCTTTACAAACACCATGACAATAATCTAATTATATACACACACACACTTCTCTGTAGCTGAGTCGATAACAACATGTAGGGATTTGTTTTTGCGGTGTTGGCAGCTACCGGTGTTAGCAAACTTTAATTAGCATCGTCACGGTACGGCAGTGAAAACTCGACATTTCCATTCATAAAGCGTTTAAACATATTCATTACAGTTAAAATACATCCCATTAACCGTTGTCGTCGTGGAGATATCTTCATATTTGTCACCACATCGTGAAATGTACAGCTTAGCATAGCACGTTAGCTTAAGTTTCGTAACCCTCCATTCAAAAAGCGGCTAACACGCTAAGCTAACGTAGGCTAACACCGTCGCCAAGACAACAAAACAGCCGTTGAAAGTGAGGAGTTTTCGGTCACGTCTGTCACAAAGTGGTCCAAACTCACCTGTTTTAATATGCATGTCTTTTCGTGTAGCGTGTCGGGAGAGTTTAGCCCTGGAGTAACTTTTGTTTACAGCGTTCAGATCTCGACGGCTCACTGGATAATAAAGTCTGTGTGGTTGTGTCACCCGGAAGAGACACGAGAATGTGGGTGGGACCGGAAGTTAGTGCAAGATAAGCGGTGCAGCGGGAAACTTGGTAGGGAGTTTTTATATTCAAATCTGACTTGTAGACCCCAGTCTATGGTAGACCCCAGACCCCCATGTGACAGCCACGTGGTCGCAGTAATTGGAGATAATGGGGATGTTTTCTTTGAATGGCCAGAGGTGGAAGAAGTACTTGGATATTGTATTTAAGTAAAGTACAAGAGTGTTGGAATACTCTGGCCTGCATTCAAAAGGTTACTCAAGTAAAAGTACAAGTACAAGAGTGTAGGAATACTCTGGCCTAAATTCAAAAGGTTACTCAAGTAAAAGTACACAAGTATCGGCATCAAAATATACTTAAAGTACCAAAAGTGAAAGATCTTGTACTTGAGTAAAAGTAGAAGTACTCAGATCTTGTACTTTAGTTAAAGTAGAAGTACTCAGATCTTGTACTTCAGTAAAAGTAGAAATACTCGATCTTGTACTTAGGTACAAGTACAAGAGTGTAGGAATACTCTGGCCTGCATTCAAAAGGTTACTCAAGTAAAAGTACAAGAGTGTAGGAATACTCTGGCCTGCATTCAAAAGGTCACTTGAGTAAAAGTAAGGCAGGTTTATTTATATAGCACTTTTCAACACAAGGCAATTCAAAGTGCTTTACAAAAAATTAAAGACATTAAGAAAATGGCATCTAAAATCAGTCATTAAAAAGAAAAGCTAATAAAATAAACATTAAAAGAAAAAATACATGGATAAAAGTTACAGTGCAGTCTAAGATATGAACAGTTCAATTAAAAGCAGCGACAAAAAGAAAAGTCTTCAGCCTGGATTTAAAAGTAGTCAGAGTTGCAGCGGACCTGCAGGTACACAAATATCTGCATCAAAATATACTTAAAGTACCAAAAGTGAAAAGAACTCGCTATGCAGAATGACCGTTATTCAAATAATATATACTATATCTGCGTATAATTGGTGATTTACAATTACATTATTGTTTGCAGCTAGTAGGTGTCTTGTACATCAAAATCCACAGGTTGTTTGTGTATTGCATTTCATCATAACTCCCTAATATTGCACGTAGCTTGCTCTTATATAATAATAAATACTTCAATGCATGAAATGTGTTTATATGTGCAGTGCTGAATCAAGAAATGGTCACATGCTCGTAGGTAAAACATTTTTATTGCAGTGTGTCACATGTGCAAACGTTCAAAATGAGCTGTAATCGTTTTCCAAATCATCACGTGTGCAGGTAAGATCCACGGTGTGCAGGTAAGCTCCACGGTGTGCAGGTAAGATCCACGGTGTGCAGGTAAGATCCACGGTGTGCAGGTAAGATCCACGGTGTGCAGGTAAGATCCACGGTGTGCAGGTAAGATCCACGGTGTGCAGGTAAGATCCACGGTGTGCAGGTCAGATCCACGGTGTGCAGGTAAGATCCACGGTGTGCAGGTAAGATCCACGTGTGCAGGTAAGATCCACGTGTGCAGGTAAGATCCACGGTGTGCAGGTAAGATCTGTTGTTATCACAGCAGGGGGTCATCAGAAGGGCCATTGTCACTTTTAAATAAAACAACTTGAAGTTAGTCTCTTCGCAGCAGCAATAAAGTGAATCCATCCGTGCAGAAAGACCGAGCTCTGAGGGTCAAATGTCTGGTGTCAAAGCAGCAGGAAGACACATGTACGGACTTGTAGTTCTAGTCCAAGTTGTGGAAACATGGACGTGATATCCCATAATATGGTGTTAAAATCAGTAGAAGCTCGGTTAGCATTCCTCACAGCAGGGACTCTTTCTCTCCAGGGGACAAACCTTTAAAAGAATGTTAAAAATGAGAAACAAGGTGGAGACATACAGTGATTTGAACAGACTGTAATACTTGTTAGGGTTCATTAAGATCTTGTCAGTGTTTAAACAAACAGTTCATGCATAACCAATATTAATGCAACCTATGAGTGTGAACAACTACTGATACACTTAATATCATGATACCATGTTTTGTTAAACTGTGTCAATTCTTAAAAGCACTTTTGATTTTGTATAAAAAGTTATAGAAAACCAAAATATTCTGTGTGTCAAACTCGAGGCCCGGGGGCCAAATCAGGGCCGTGGTGGATTTAATTTCGGCCCGCAGGATAATTTCTAATCCCTATTAGATCTGGCCCGCCGGTATATTGCTCTCACACCTTCACTCCATCCTGAGGGTCTCCTCCGCTCAGAGCCTGACCCCAAACATTGATGACCTTGCACCCAAGATGAGATGCCAAGTAACTGAGCTAGCATCACAGAGCAGCACACTGAGTTCAATGGATGCTTCCTTCTGCACTTTCTCTCAGGACAACAGGGCATGTTTGGTTTTCTCTCTGAGGGGAATAGTTGTTTTGAAGCTGTTGTTGGCCTGTGGGAAAATGTACTCATAAGAAGTGACTCTGGAAAAGCTGCAGATAGAGCCGTAAGAAATTAATGCAACTGATTATTGAATGTTGTTTTTATAGGCAATCATTTAAGCTTTGTTAGTTCCAGGTTTAATATGTGCAATAAGTTCATTTCAATAAGTTCTGCAATAAACATTGAACCAGTCCGGCCCTCCACTAGTACCCATTTGAGTTTGACCCCCCTGTTCTATATGTATTACTTTTTATTTTTGCTCTAATGTTGGCTCTTACTTTGGCTCTATGATGATATCAAACTGTTGGGATTAAATCAACAAGTTGCAAAACAATTTATAGAAATGGTGGCGTGTGTTTAACTGTGGAGTTTATACACAAATACTATGTTATTATTGTATACATAAGTAAGTATTTTAAACGTGTTGCAACAGTCCCTGGGTTGTAGTTTTGATTGATTGATTGAAAAGTGTATTAACAGCTTGTATATTGGGTACAGTACAGTACAGCTCAAAACATACAATTGTTAAGGGGATGCAGACCAGAGAAAGACTTTCGTCTTGTTTACATCAGGGTCCCCCATTTCCAATTCATCATATCATTTAAGACATATAAGACATACAGATGGCTTATTTACAATTTACATACAGGTGTTTTTTTTACATACAGGTGGTTTTTTACAATTTTCATTTTAGATTTCGTTCTAATACATCCTAACCGGACATTTAAGACATACCAAGTCTACAGATATACAGTTAGTAACAGAGTCTAAAATGCGAGTATCTACATAGATGGGGGGGGGGGGGTGGGGGGGGGGGGGGGGGGGGGGGGAATAGGGGGGGGGAAGCTGTCCATTGAAGGACAGGTTGAGATTTGTACCATTTACGGCCCGTCCATACGGCGGCGTGCGTTGACGTTTGCCGGCGGGCGTGTCTGAAACTCGACCAACAACCAATCACATGAATCTCCCGCCCCTGACACACAAGCAGCGGTTTGATTGGCTAGAGCTTGTACTGGCATATGATTCGATTGGCTTCTGCCGAGGCGTCAAAAGTTGAACATTGCTCAACTTTTGCAGCGAGCCACGCCAGCAATGCTCCGCGTCGCTTCCCACGATGCAGTTCGGCTAAAAGTGACGTCACCCCATTCAAAGTGAATGGGCAGAAGCGTTGGAAGCTTCAACGCACGCCGCTGTGTGGACGGGCTGTCAGTGCTGTATACTTCAAAATATCGTCGACGACATATTTCTGCGTCGACGCGTCGCTACACACACGTGGGTCACCCAAAGCAACAAGCAGTTCGCAATCGCACTTCAAACACAATGGAGACTGAAACGGCTACCACCTCCTCCTCACAGGATTGCTCACGAAGCCCCCAAACGAAAACATCTCGCCCTAGGTCTTCAAAAGCATGGGAATATTTTAAAGTTAGTCCAAAACGCAAAGATATTTATATATCTAACTGAGACTGCTGCATAGCCTAGCAGAAGCAGCAGCTAGCTGTGGTGGCTACCATTAGCAGCTAGCATTTGCTCTCCGATTTTTACATAAAATGGAATTATGGATTATAAATGCAATCATTTTTTTATACATAGACGTTAAAAACCTATGGATTAACCGATTCAGCCGCGTTTTTTCTCATTTTAATGCCATTGAACACGTCTTTTGATCAGATTGACAGCTACGGTGAGACGATCTTCCTAGAAGCTCTGTGAAGGTACGTGTTGTGATGACTGTATTTGCTTCCCCTGTCGCGAGTCCGGATCACTCAGTGATGATACTATATACCTACATAATCTGTGGAGTCTCAGCTTTTAATCGGATATATTGTATGTGCAGCTACGATAAGTAATAAGGGTACTTTTATCTTGAGATCTGTGCCAATGTCCGTTAGCATTTTTCGCTCAGGGGTCATTTAGATGCTTCTTATGAGACTTGTGTTTTGTTTTGGTAAACATGGTTTGTATCGTCAGTTAGCTGAGATTATTTCCGTTAATCTGGTATAACACATTAATAGGTTCTTAAATATTAAGATCCCCTGAGACACAGTATCGTGAATTTTTTTTTTTTACATTACGTTTTTTATGAATTGAACAACAGAAAAATAATCGTTAGATTAGTCGACTAATCGATCAAATAATCGCCCGATTAATCGTTTTCAAAATAATCGTTTCCCCCCAGCACTAGTACCATTACCGGGGCCAGTTTTGCAATGCTCTCCCCCGAAGGTGCTCTTTAAGAGAGGTTTTGAAGGTAAGTATAGTTTTACTTTCCTTTACAGTTGTGGGAAGAGCGTTCCACCTTGATGTGGCATCATTGCGAAACGTGTATTCCCCCTTTTTTGTGCCAAATCTGGGTTTCACATGATTTGTGGAGCTCCCTAGTCTGACTTTTTTACTTTCAAATGTATATTGTGAACAATCTATCATATATATTCATCTTTAAATGGTATTAGTACTTAACACACATATGTAAGTTTAATATATAAATAGGTAGTTGGTCTAAACCAAATAGTTTCTGAGTAACTGACTCCTCTACTTCCGGGCTCATCTGTGTTGACATTGCTAGTATTTGAACAGGTAGCTCCACATTGTGATAGCTTACTAACTAAAGGGGAGACAAGGCTTCTGGGCTTGGGTTAGTTTAACTTAAATACTATTCTGTCAATGACAAATAAATAGCTTTTTAATATAACTCGTTAGCTCAGTATTTGTGTCAACTTCCGTTATCCGCCCATAGTTACAAAACGTTATCCAGAAACTTCTTATCTCCAACTCACCTTTTTTACGGGATTATAAAGTACATGACGAGGAAAAACACGATGTCGAACACCACGAACAACCAGAAGTCAAACCAGTAGGAGTGTTTGGGTAAATATATGGCGGTTCCTTTAGATTTAAACATGTTTAGGTCTTTTTCTGACTTCATTACTGCTTCCATCTTTCTTACTTCTTCTTCTTTGTCGTTTGTTTCGTTCTTCTTCTTCTGCCGATTTAATAGCGGGCTGCAAACCAACGTTAGAAGGTGCATTACCGCCACCTAGTGTACAGAGGAGTGTGTCAGAGTGAAAGACAAATTATTTAAATGATTAAATAAAAGGGAAGAAAACAGATGCTACACAGTTAAATATATATATTTATTATATTTAACTGCATTCAGTTCCTCACATAATTATAATTTGTTTAAATAGTGACTTTATTTTTCATTTGTTACGATTCTGATTCTAGAAATAAAACCTGTATTGTTCAAGTATTTCAATAAAAACCATTGAACCTGAATTGACAATGTTGTGCATCAAAGCAGCATAAATAAAGGATTGTATTGAAGTTGAGTTTCTCTGGTCTGACTTGAAATTCAGTTAACTAACTGAATAATACTTGTACTGTGTTGTTTATTTACTATACTTTGAATTAGTTCCTGTTGTTATCATAGCAACATTCTAGTAAAAACTTCACATTACCCACTTCTGATGCCTTTACCCCATAAACTTGCCAAAACAGACCAGAAAAAAGGAAATTTCCATTAGACAAATAAAGAAAGTCAGCATGTTGTTTGCTTGTGTGACACCAAATACCATTATTAGGGCTTTACAAAGACTACAAAATCCTCCAGATGAGTTAAAACACTGTCTCTGTATATTTACATGATATGTTACATACAAATGTACAAAATATAAAACATTTAAGGACAAATGTTTCACCCAAAAACAAGAAAACCTTCTCTCAAACCAGAGTAAATGCTATAACTGAGATGTAACTGCAATAAGTGTACAGTGGGAAAACTGACCAGCGGATCGTCAACACTATGGTGTAAAACACTGTTAAAGTTCTGCTAGATCGGGAACTCTCGGCCTACAGAAGTGTGGATCAGATCTTAAAGGTCCCCTATTATGCAAAATCCATGTTGTCACGTCTCCTCTACATCAACATGTGTCCCCTCTTCTTCATGTCTCTTCTACATCAACATGTGTCCCCTCTTCTTCATGTCTCTTCTACATCAACATGTGTCCCCTCTTCTTCATGTCTCTTCTTCATCAATATGTGTCCCCTCTTCTTCATGTCTCTTCTACATCAACATGTGTCCCCTCTTCTTCATGTCTCTTCTACATCAACATGTGTCCCCTCTTCTTCATGTCTCTTCTACATCAACATGTGTCCCCTCTTCTTCATGTCTCTTCTACATCAACATGTGTCCCCTCTTCTTCATGTCTCTTCTACATCAACATGTGTCCCCTCTTCTTCATGTCTCCTCTACATCAACATGTGTCCCCTCTTCTTCATGTCTCTTCTACATCAACATGTGTCCCCTCTTCTTCATGTCTCTTCTACATCAACATGTGTCCCCTCTGTGGAAAGAGACTCTGAAAGTTTCAGGAACAAAGATTCTCTCTCTTTTTGATCCATTTCTATAAAAACCTGTCTGAAAATGAGCTGATCAGATTTTGGCCACTTTATGATGTCATAACGATTTGTTGTCTTGTGTAACCATTAGCCAATCAGCAACCAAGGTAACCCCCCCCCCCCCCATCACCTGAATCTCCTCCTAGAGCACCATTGTGTTCTTTTTAACCAAATATCTCTCAGAGGGGCGTGGCCAGCAGCAGCTCATTAGCATTTAAAGCTACAGACACAGAATCAGCACTTTGGAAACAGGGCTGAAACAGAGGGGATTATGGGTAATGCTGCAATGATCTGTTTGGTGTTTCAGCCAATCAGAGACATGTTCTGTATATATCTGAGACCTATAACATATTAATGAAAAACAGTATAATAGGGGACCTTTAACTATTGGTGTAAATGTAGGTAAGGTGTTGTTTACTAACCCCTTATCATGCAACTACACAACCTTACAAGGCCGGTAGATTTATGTGCGACCCATCGGAGGCTAAGCAGCAGATGTGAGGTTGAACACAGGTAGGATTGTCCTGAGGTTGTGACAACATGACTCCTTAATCTCCGACAGTTTTCGACTAAAGTAGCACCGGTTGTTGGTAAATGATTACAGTACGGTGCCTTCGGACAGCTGGCAGGCCTATAAGGTAAACTCGGGTGAAAATGTCCAGAGAGGAAGTGCATCTGAGCAAATAACATCTTAGGCATTCCCTAAAGACGGAGAGGATCCAGATATTATTATTGCAGGATAGTCTAGTTGCCATCAGTGAGAACCTGGAAAGTACCCCAAAGTTTTATGTTAGAAATGTATAGTATGGGTCCCTTTTTTAGGATCATAAGCAGTTTCGAGTCCTCTAGTCCTCTAGTCTAAAGCTTTAAAATAGACACAAAATTCATCAAAATCAGCCCAATGGGTTTACAAATATGGCCACTTTCTGGTTAAATCTGCCATTTAGGATCCTGAAAATATCAGAAATTGATTCAGCATCTTCAATAACCTCCAAAACCTCTCTGAAATTGGCCAAGCCATTTCTTAACTATTGTCTGCATATGCTTATTAACGCCACTTATGCTAATAGTGCAAATTGCCCAACATATGCAAGTTAGCATCTGGCCGTTTCTAGAAGCTATGGGACCCGGACTATACATTTCTATCATACATGTTGGGGTACTCAACATTTCCAGGTTCACAACAGGAGTTGGCAACTAGACTTGGAGGGGGGGGAATACTGAGAAAGTTCCTATTTTAGGTGATTTAAGTGAATTTAAAAACGTTTTCTTACTGTACACCGTGTGCCTCTTGCATAGGCAAAACATCCACAAGACACACACCTGTTTTCTGACAGCGTGTTGAGTTTTTGCATTTTTTTTTTTACTCTCTGTTTTCAAAAGGTACAATAATTTACTCAGCGGCTTAAGCATACTGTAACACCAACAGGGCATCTTTGATTCACTGTGCAAGACTTAAGTATATACAACCCACCCCAAACCTCAAAGTGTGCAAAACCAACCCACTCGATAAAAACAAAGGAGAGAGGACAATCAAAATTCAAAATGGCTTCCGTCCAATACACGCATACATAACGGAAAAAACGGTCTCTTCGTTAAAAAGCTTTTAAAACATGCTATTCAGGCTAGAAAACCCAAAACAGTTTGGTTGTGCTCCTGTCAGTTCAAGTGAGCCCAGCTCAACTGTGCCGGAAAACGACAACTTAAAAAATACCCCACCCCTTTTTAAATGTTTTTACAATATTGGTCAGTTTAAATCCAAAGACAGCTTTAACTCTTTTATACTTTAACTGTCAGAAACACAAATAAAAAGGGCGGTTTGGAGGAAGAGGGAGCGAGAAATAAAACACAAAAAAGCTGTTTCTCTGACAGCTTCGTCTGACAGTCTTTTTCTCACTTTAGCCAATGGGAGTCGAGGATTCCTCCCGCTCTTTTGCACATTTAAGGCAGTGAGAAAGCACCAGTATCGTTGTTCCCTCATCTTGCATTTGTCAAAACACTTTGGACTCTTTTTTTGGTACCTCAAGGATTCCACATAGGTGCAGACGCTTAGCAAGCTTGCATTAATTCACTTTTACTGATCAGCGTTGACTCATATCTGTTGAAGCCGAGGCGTTGACATATATCAGTGTTCTGCTTTTCTTGCAGTTAACCCACCCGTGTGATTTTCATGCAGCTAACACTAATGTCAAAATGAATCAGCGATGGGAAATTGACTGTTTGCTAAGCCCAGTTTCTCTCCGTTCTGTCAGGCGTTGGGTTCTCCCACCAATGCAGCTAACAATAACAGAGGTGGCTAGCTAATTAAGCTAACGTCAGGCTTTTTAATGACTCGTGTTATTGATATCCGAAAAGAGGACTGACGCTGAAGCAGCATGTGCCTAGCTAACGGTTAGCATTCTTGCCAGCTTCATTTAGATATCGACATAAACATCAGATAGTTCTGCAGAGTCAAATCAAACCTCTATTTAATTTCTATCATACATCTGTTTTGCTGGTTAGCTTGCATACCTTTTTCTCATTATATATTCAGTAGGGCTGGGTGTTAAATCAATACATTTTATCTTCTTAAGATAACATTTCTCATAGATACCATGCTGTATTGTGACATATATCATTAACCAGATAAAGAAATAAAGTATGATATAATTGCCCCGTGTAGTTCCCTTTTTAACATTAAATTAAAGGTTTTTTCGATGAGGACTAATGCTATGCTAACGCTATCTCAGAGCAATATCTGCTGGAGTTGCTTTCTCCAAGTTCAACAAAGAGCAAGTTAGGCTAGTAAGACAATCATACATCCTTTGCAACTAACCCTCCAAACTGCTTAAATACTGAGTATGTCTTGAACTCGAGAAAGTTTGCAAATGATTGTTGAAACTCTGTTGAAAAGAGGGGATTAGCAAGCAGTCAATGAAGACAGTTCTGTGAGATGCTAAGCTACATTGACGACGGACTGCAGAGCGTGCAAGGCCAAGAACAACTTAATCTAAGTTTACAACCTCGTGATGTTAAGTCTCTGTGTTTGTGTGTGCACATTTGGCAGTAAAATCAAAAACATTGGCACTTTTTTCCATTTTGTTCTTCACAGTAGAAATGTGACTGAATGACACACGGACAATTAAGCACTTTTGTTGTGCTTGAGGACTGAGCACCATGAAGCTCAACTGACCTCTGATCAGAAGGTGAGTGTGTGAGTGTGTGTGTAAAATGTAGTTATTGTGGAGCTTGTTTGTCTGCAGAGGCTTTTCAAATGTCTCATACTAGCCTCCATTGTGGCCACCAGAGGGCGGTACATCACCCGGATTCACTTTAACCCTCCTGTCGTGTTCGGGTCAAATCTGACCAATTTACTATTTTCTCCAATCATAAATATTATGTTTTACATTTGATTGCTTCAAGGCCTTATGATATCCTCCACAGTAGGCGTTTATCCCCACTTTCATTGATGAATGGTGTTCCTAGTAAAACATGTCGCCATAGAAAATGAATGGGTAACCCTATCAGATCACACCCACAAATAGGCAAATAAGTTCATTTAGGAATACCTCCTCTCTTTGAATATTTCCCGCAGTGACTGATGTGAACCAGAAGTCTGAGACATTTTACAGCTTAAAGGGAATTAAATATAATGTGGTGATGATGAATGTTTTTGTGTTAATGTAAGAGCAGTTAAAACCAGAGGTGGGAAGTACTAAGTACAATTTTGAGTGTTTCCATTTGATGCTACTTCATACTCCACTACATTTAAAAGTGGACTAACTTAGAACACTAGTTACATTTTTAGAGATGTATTTTGTTAGAAAAAGACATTATTTAAATATTTTACCAAAAGTCAATCCGAACTTTGTCTATAATAGTAAAATGCTACTCGATTATCTAGAGATGTAACATATATAAAAAGAATCATATACACACACAAAGGCAATTTTTCTGCACAATGATTACTTTGAAAGTTATTCTGTATGAACCTTTTTTTAGATAAGATTTTGTTAAGTAAGATTTTGAATGCAGGACGAAGTATTTTGACAATAATGTGTTCTGCATCTGAATACTTCTTCCACCTCTGGTTAAAAATAGATTTTCACTGGGGGAGAAATGACCACGAGAGGAAGGTTAATCTACTCTAATGTACAGGTGGGCTCAGAGATAAGGGTGCACTGATTGGTCTTTGTTAGAAAAGGCGTCGTCTGGATTTTTTGGTTGAACCGTTTCCAGCCTGTGATTAAAAGTCAGTGTCCTCCTGCTGCCCGTGTGTAAGTGCATGAGTGTATAAGTGTGTGTGTGTGTGTGTGTGTGTGTGTGTGTGTGTGTGTGTGTGTGTGTGTGAAGCACCTCTGTAAACAAGGAGAGACATAAACAACAGAACACCCCACCCTCCCGTTGTAAACATCTGAAGATACATATCTGGGATTTGAAAAAAAAGAAAAATCCAGTTTTAAATTCTTGGCGTTGTCTTTTTTTTTCTGTGTCTCATCACAGCTGACTCCTTCCTGCTGGCACATATATGAAAAGTTGTATTCTAAAATGTTATACACCCAATAAAACATGATCTGTGTTTAAAATAAAAGGATTGTTTGACACTTTGTCCACCAGATTGGCAATATTTAGACTCAGTATTGCACCGTTTGTAATGTGAATGGTGGCCCGCTGTACCATTTTGGATGATAAAACTTTTCATATATATATTATATTATATCTGGGCACCACGGGGGGTCTCATAGCGCCGACTCCAGCGAGGAGTCCAGCTGGTCGTCATGGTGACTGGTGCTGTCGCTGTCGTAGCTCTGCGTGCTCGAGTAATTGGCCGCTTCCTGTAACCGTAGCAACATGTTCATCTGAAAAACACAGACAAGGAGGGTTAGGGTAAACACAATGTTATCTGTTACGAGATGTAATCTGAGTATCAAAATATATAAGTAATGTCACCTGATTACTTCCCGTTACTTATGGATCACACAGATGTTTTTTTTATTGACAATAAAGCCTTGAATATTAAATGCAATGCAAATAAATAAATACATTTGACTGAAGTGTATTATGTAAGACAACAGAACAGTGTGGCCTTAGAAAATAAGAAATCTAGATATTTGGGTAAAGAAATGTGTCCTCTGCCTATATATAATGTATACTATATACTATGTACTATCTACTAGATATTTATGTATTCGATTTGTAGAATTGAATCCTCTGGTTTAGGTCACAGTAGGGTTTTATCTTCATGAAGCTAACATCACTTAGCTCAGATTCCACCCCTTACTGCCAGTCCTTCCATATTCTCCTATACTTGTTACTACTAGTACTACTGTTGTAAAAAAAGCTTTACAAAGACTTCTCCTTCACTCCAGGTGTTCATGGTGTGTGTTCCTCACCAGGGGGTCTCCATCGGTGTCGCTCTGGGACACCTGTTTGGAGGAGGCTCCCTCCTTGGAGGAGCTGTAGCTGTCGTAGCCCACGTCCTCCGGCCTCAGCTGCAGCAGAGTCTGAGCGTCCGGCTGCTGCGAGGCGCCGCTCCACGGGTACGTGTCGTTCACCCACTTAGAGGGGTCCTCCCACGCTGCTCTCTTCCCGTATAACTGCAGGGGATATCAGAAAACAGATGTGTTAGGGTTAGGTTTTCATGTCTCTTCTACATCAACATGTGTCCCCTCTTCTTCATGTCTCTTCTACATCAACATGTGTCCCCTCTTCTTCATGTCTCTTCTACATCAACATGTGTCCCCTCTTCTTCATGTCTCTTCTACATCAACATGTGTCCCCTCTTCTTCATGTCTCTTCTACGTCTGAAAATGAGCTGATCAGATTTTGGCCACTTGATGATGTCATAACGATGTTTTGTCTTGTGTAACCATTAGCCAATCAGCAACCAAGGTAACCCCCCCCCCCCCCTTATCACCTGAACCTCCTCCTAGAGCACCATTGAGTTCTTTGTAACCAAATGTCTCTCAGAGGGGCGTGGGGAGGGGCTCCTTATTTTCATCTAAAGTAACAGACAGAGAATCAGCACTTTGGAAACAGGGCTGAAACAGAGGGGATTATGGGTAATGCTGCAATGATCTGTTTGGTGTTTCAGCCAATCAGAGACAGGCTCTGTATATATCTGAGACCTGTGATATATTGATGAAAAACATACACCTGCAGGAGAGAGGACTCTTTAAAGTCTCTTAGCGAGTTCATGTGTTGAGCTATTGTACCTGAAGCCCCTCCCTGACGGCCTCCAGCAGATAGGGAACCAGGGAGTAGTTCCACAGATCTGTGAACCAAACTCTGGATCCTTCTACATCCATCGGACAGGACAGGAAGAGACGGGGGCCTGAGGGACAAAGAAGACATTTAATATAATCTTAGTGCCTTTTCGTTACTCTACAAAAACTTAAACTCGTTTATTTGTCTAATATCTATTCAGAATAAGTCTTTACACCTGATACAAGACATTACAACTTCAGAAGTAACTCTGCAGTGAGATACCTTTGCCCTCTCTGGTAAATCGTACCTATGGTGACGTCGGAGGAGCTGTGAGCCTCCAGGAATCCGTTGAGGTGCTGCCAGGTTTTGGGGATCCAGTCGATGATCTTGATCAGATCGTTGCTCCTCGAGCTCTTATTGATCTCCGTCTCGATCAGCTTCCTCCGCAGGAAACGTCCCAGAAACCCTTTCACCGGCTCGGTGTGGTTGGTGCACAACACCCACCTGAGACAGAACACACGGAGGTCATTAAGAAACAAAAGCAGAGGAGGAAATAAACGAAGCAGTCAAAGAGAATTGGGTCGACTTTACTGAAACGTATTTACGTGATAAGCCTTTCCTGATGACGTTATGTTTGCCGAATGATCAGCGAGTCAAACATGCCAAGAGGAAGCACGATCCTTAATCAGAACATGCATTATGGTCTAATTACTTTTGTTCAACAAGATTAATTATTCAAGCGATTTCATTGCAGCGCTTCCTGGAATAATGATTACATATTTTTATAGATATTGTTTTCTGTAAATCTGTACATTTTATACGATCCTACGTTTACAGGTATGTCTTTGCTCCCGCAGTGTAAGCATACAGTTTATTCCTGCTACTAACTGCAGTATTTGTGACTTTTTCATTTGATTTTTCCTTTATATATTGTTGGTTGTAGTTTAATGTCTCACACTGATGCTTCTGTAACAAAAAATAATTTCCCAAATTGGGATCAATAAAGTATATATCTATCTATGTAACGCTAAGCTAATGAAGCTACAAGTGATTTCTCTGTGGATTTAATACGTTTCAAACTATATCAAATCAAGAGTAACTTATATATTTTGAAGGACAGTTTCCCAATTCAAACTGTCAAATGTAATGGGGGGCGTGATTACCGGTTTACTCGACATACATATTTCATATCATGTCAATAACACAGATTGTAGACACTGTGGCTTTATTGTAAGTTCATCTGTGTGTCTGGTCACTACTCCATTAGCAACAAGAGACAAAACACACAATAAATAGAGATGAATTTGACTGATTATTGAGTATAACTTCAACATTTTTATAGATATTGCGAGAATATCTTGAAGTAAAACTGCCTAGGGGAAGGTTGTGGTGTGTGTGTTTGTGTCTGTGTGTGTGTGTGACCTAGCATTACTATCCTTGTGGGGGCCTACATCTGTTTACATAGTCACGTGTGGGGACTCGCCTCCCTTATGGGGACAAAATGGAGGTCCCCATGAGGGGTATCATTAATTTTAGGGTGAAGACTTGGTTAGGTTTAGGATTAGGGTTAGGGTTAGGCATGTGTTGGTTATGGTTAAGGTTAGGATAAGTCTCCAGGAAATGCATGTAAGTCAATGTAATGTCCCCCTGAAGTGATGTATACATGGTATGTGTGTGTGTGTGTGTGTGTGTGTGTGTGTGTGTGTGTGTGTGTGTGTGTGTGTGTGTCACAAACCTGAAGTTGTGGTGTAACTCCAGGTTAGGAGAAGAGGACACTCCCTGGTTCATGGTCCCGATGACGTAAGGGCTGGATGGAGAGATGGACAAATAAAGATGTGTTATTTTGACATAAGATTACATTTTTAGGAGGAATTTAAAAGCACATTATATTTAAAAAAAGAGTATTTTACAAACGAATCCCAGAGTATAGCACCAAAGCCAGGGAAACATGATGTAATTCCTGCTCTTCCAATATTGATATAACGACACATTTCAGTTCTTTTGGCTCTTCCTACATTGCATCTCTGCCTCACCATTTGTGGTACTTGCAGTTGAGGAAGCCGTTGAAAATGTCGCTCAGGGATCCGATGTGGTGCAGGTTGTCGAGGATCACCACCGTGGGAAGCTCCGTGTCCGAATCCTCTGAGTTACACTGCTCCGCCAGGTTGGACAGGTACTGACGCAGGTCCTGGAGAGAAAGGTTATCACTTGGGTTTAGAGAAAGCTAAGTCCCTTATGGACCAAAATGTAGAGACACCAGACCAGTTCATCTCTGAGAATCTGCTCTTTGTTGGTGAGCAGTGGCGGAATAAGTACTCAGATGTCATCGTTAAGTTAAAGTAGTAATACTAAACTTTACAAATTGTGCATTCAAAATCTTAGTAACATTCCACCACTGGGAAAAGTGCATTCTGGGAGATGTAGGAATTAACTGAGATACTAATAACATTGATAATAATAATACATTGGATATTTATAGCACTCTTACAGTACTAAGATGAAGCTACACTGTAGATATTGACACACACACACACACACACACACACACACACACACACACACACACACACACACACACACACACACACCACACACACACACACACACACACACACACACACACCACACACACACCACACACACACACACACACACACACACCACACACACACACACACACACACACACACACACACACACACACACACACAGCTATTTTACTAATATATATTTAGACTGTAAGAGTAAATATGCACATTGACATTGAATTTGATCTCGTTGCACTGTCATCGCTACTACCTCTGCTTTTACCACCCTTATTTATTTATTGTGTCTATGTTTTACTGCGGTGAGAGCTGCCAAAGAAATGTCGTTGTACTTTGTATGATGACAATACAGATATATTCTATTCTATTCTGTTCTATATTGGCAGACTGGGTGAAAGCATATTACAAACACATAAATACATATCATGGCTTTCTGCATCCAAAGTGTAACCCTACCTTGCTGGAGTTCTGGTCTACGTTGAAGCTGGCCACGTTGTGCTCGGTCACCTGCTGGCCCAGCTGGGAGATGATGAACTCGGCCAGTTTGGCGGCGAGGAAGGACTTCCCGGTGCCGCTGGGTCCGGAGAGGATGATCCGCCGGTGCTCCATCAGCAGGTTCAGGTACCGCTGGATGATGGGCTTAGGGATCAGAGTGTCAAACACCAGGCTGTCGATGCTGTTCTCCTTCACTCCTGGAGGGAAGCAGGAGAGGACTCTTTAAAGTAGAGACACTACATACTGATATACACCTGAACATCAGCAGGAGAGGACTCTTTAAAGTAGAGACACTACATACTGATATACACCTGAACATCAGCAGGAGAGGACTCTTTAAAGTAGAGACACTATATACTGATATACACCTGAACATCAGCAGGAGAGGACTCTTTAAAGTAGAGACACTACAAACTGATATACACCTGAATATCAGCAGGAGAGGACTCTTTAAAGTAGAGACACTACAAACTGATATACACCTGAATATCAGCAGGAGAGGACTCTTTAAAGTAGAGACACTACATACTGATATACACCTGAACATCAGCAGGAGAGGACTCTTTAAAGTAGAGACACTACATACTGATATACACCTGAACATCAGCAGGAGAGAACTCTTTAAAGTAGAGACACTACATACTGATATACACCTGAACATCAGCAGTAGAGCACTCTTTAAAGTAGAGACACTACATACTGATATACACCTGAACATCAGCAGGAGAGGACTCTTTAAAGTAGAGACAATACATACTGATATACACCTGAACATCAGCAGGAGAGGACTCTTTAAAGTAGAGACACTACATACTGATATACACCTGAACATCAGCAGGAGAGGACTCTTTAAAGTAGAGACACTACAAACTGATATACACCTGAATATCAGCAGGAGAGGACTCTTTAAAGTAGAGACACTACATACTGATATACACCTGAACATCAGCAGGAGAGGACTCTTTAAAGTAGAGACACTACATACTGATATACACCTGAACATCAGCAGGAGAGAACTCTTTAAAGTAGAGACACTACATACTGATATACACCTGAACATCAGCAGTAGAGCACTCTTTAAAGTAGAGACACTACATACTGATATACACCTGAACATCAGCAGGAGAGGACTCTTTAAAGTAGAGACACTACATACTGAAATACACCTGAACATCAGCAGAATATGTCCTATTTAAGCCATGTAAATGCAGTTATAGTTAATATTTGTCTCTCTATTCCTACGCTGGTTTCTACATCAGCTGTATTCCTGAAATAGAAGCTCCGTACCCTTGAGGTTGACCTTGATGATGTTGCTGTCGCCCACCAGGTAGCCGCAGGGCAGCAGCTCAGGCACTTTGGAGGTGTGAGAGCGAATCACATCGCCCATCCTGTAGCAGACGATGCTGTCCGAGCTGAGACCCAGACTGGTGAGAGGGTCCACCCGAAACACATACTCCTGCAGGGAGGGGGGGAATAAATCAAATAGTACAGATAACTAGATTGTAACGGATTACATTGTCATAATACGGTGGTTGTTCTTGCAGCTCAGAGGATACACACATGCATTAAGGACAATCATCGAACAGAAGGACTCAAATATGAAGGATCCTCGCAATTTAAATAATCCTTCAACGAGAGTGTGTATCAACAAACTGCACTTTTGCTTGAAACTTAAATGTTATCTATTATTGGATAATAAAAAAACACGTTTTTTTTGTACTCATTGTTTAAGGCATGTAACAGGTAATTGACATAGTGCAGGTAATGCAAATAACACGTCCAATGAATGCCTCGTATAAGTAAGTAACATATATTCAATTCATGCATGTAGGGGAAAAAAAGTGGTGGGCTTTTATTTTTGAATGTATTTGGGGGTGGGGCTTCTGACATTTTTCAACCAATATCCAGTTATCTATTTCAGTCAGACAACTCACGTGTTTCTTAATTTGTTTATTAGAAGCAGCATATAGTTTGAGTTTGGCGTCTAGGCTCGGGCCTCATCACTCCACAGATTTACAAAGAACATTGAGTGATGATTAGATAACTATCCCCCGAGCCTACAGGCAGGAAGCTGGGGCGGAGCTGGGGCGGAGCTGGGGCGGAGCAGGGGCGGAGCTGGGGCGGAGCTGGGGCGGAGCTGGGGCGGAGCTGGGGCGGAGCTGGGGCGGAGCTGGGGCGGAGCTGGGGCGGAGCTGGGGCGGAGCTGGGGCGGAGCTGGGGCAGGCAAACAGCAGGAACATGAACGCAGCAATAGCAAGTGAACACAGCAGTGGCAGCATAGCGAGGCAGAGGCAGGAAGACCTGGCAGCTTCAATAGAGCGGCATGTTTAGGAGAATGTGTTTGGTTGGTTGTAAGAGGGACGAGGTGCGTCACGTGTTAATGTATCATTGGTGCTCGAGTTGACTGCCTGAACTCGCTCGCAGGCTTCGCCCCATTTTTGGCACTTTTGTGATTTTTGTTTTAGAACCCTTCGGACCAAAACGTGTTCAAAGTGAAAAAAAAGAAAAAAAATGAATTTTATAAAAGCATTATTTTTACGATTTGATTACATATGAGGTTTTTTTTTCTTTTTTTCTGTGCGTGGCTCCCTTAAAGAAGGACTCGGTAGAATCTGAAGGATCCTCCACATTTCATTAATCCTTCGACGAGAGTGTGTGTATGTTGTGTTTACCTTGAAGAGGCGTCGAATGACTCCATCCAGGACGTCCCACTTGGTTTTCCCGCTCACACCGATAGACCCAATCAGGTACGAGTGGCTCTGTTTACCCTGAAGAGTTGATACAAACACGTTAGAACATTTCAGCTGCAGAGAAACAGACATAACGTCAACTCTTCTTCATTTACTTGCACTATTATCGGAGGAGCCTGTAACCTAATATCTTCAAGCACATAACTACACCGTAGCTAATGTACAAATGACAATAAAAGCCTTGAATCTTGAATCTCTTCTTCCTCTCCTGACCTTGGTAGAGTACGGTCCTCTGCTGATGGTCACCACTATCCGAACACTTCGACCTTCTTTTCGCAGATTTCCCTCGTAGCCGTCGTCCAGCAGAATATCTGGAATAAAAAAAAAATAGTTCTGTTAGCAACCAACCTATAATAATAATAAGAAAGCTTTATTTAGATAGCACTTTCCATACAACACAAGCAGCTCAAAGTGCTTTACAAAATGACACATCACAAGTTAAAAACACACAACAAGAAATTCCCCTCAGATTATTTGTTAAGAACTTTAAAAGGTCCATGCAGCAGAATATAACATTTGATCAGGTTGAGAGACACAAGGAGGTAAAAGCTATGATAAAATTAAATAAATAATGATTTCTCTCCGACAGATAAGACCCCATAAAACAAAGTGAACATATAGGTACAATTACGGAGCCCTGGAGGGTTCATAGAGAGAAAAATAAATAAAACGAGGCCACGCTTTATTAATTTGTGCGCACGATATACTTTCTCGTTCGCACAAGATACTTTTTTATGGTAAAACACATCGAACTGCCCGATTATTGCGCCATATTATTAGTTTTATGAAGAATATGTCCAGTCGCCAGGGTGTGTGTGTGTGTGTGTGTACAGTTCTTTCCTCACACTAGAAAGAGAAGCTTTTTCCTCATTTCAAACTCGCTGTATATACAAAAGATGTTGTCTCACGGCGGTTCTAGGGGGGGGGGCAGTGCCCCCCTGACACTGACCTCTGACCCCCCTGTGGCCCCCCTAAAAATGAAAAGTGAAAAAAATGAAAAATGTATGATTTATTACACGATTTATTGAATGACGGAACTAACGTTATTCGTCATTCTAGTCGGACCCATTAGAGCGGTGCACTCAGGACCCATTAGAGCGGTGCACTCACTTTCACTGTCCGGCTGAAGCGCGCGAAAAACAAACACTTTTCATCTCGGATCATCAGAGGCTGTTCCAAGAAAGACTGATTGAAACCTACGTTTCGAGAGACTACCACGATAATTGAAGGTGATTTAAACTATTGTATCCGTGTAATTGTAGATGTAAAGTAGAGATGTAACTGTTCATTGCCTTTATTTTTATATAAATATGATATGGTGTTAGTGCAAAAATTGTACTATAACTTAAGCTGAAGCTAACAGTAATAACTATAAGATATATCTGAAATAAATAAGTGTACTGAAACAAATACCAATAACTGTATTGCATTGTTTTCTTATGCGCAATTACTTCATACTGTCTAGTTCTCTTTTTCGTCATGCATTTATTGTGCCCCCCTCAGAAAATAACTGGCCCCCCCAGTCAAATTAGTCTAGAACCGCCACTGCTCTGAGGACAAGTGATTTTAGTCCTTAGTTTGCACACACTACTTTAAAACAGATGTGTGTGTCTGTAGTCCTTTACTAACTGGTTTAAAGAGCTGTGGAAACATCTTTATTTGAATGAAGTGTATTAAAAAAGAACAATTAGACAGTGTACAGATGTTACGTAATATGTTTTGCCTCTGGTAGTTATTGTGTTGACTTGAATTGTGTTTGTTTTGATGTCACTGTTAAAGCTTGTTGTGTAACTGAGCACTAATCCTCGCTGATCCTTTCCATCAGGGTCTATAAACGGCTCTAAATGTCCATATAAATAACAAATAAATATAACTACTACGAGGACAGACTACAAAAGAACAACCGCAGCAAACAGAGAACTTCTTCTTTGTTCCAGTTAGACTTATTTTAAAAGTTTCCTGACACCTTTAACCTTTAACAAACCCACTCTGTAAACTCTCCTTTCTCGTTCTCCCAGACTACGTTTCGGAGGAGGAATGAGGCACTTTGTATTCGGCTCTGTGTGTGGATGATAACGCCTCATGTTTCCCACGCGTCGCTGCTCATCCTCCGTCTATTAATCGGCGCCGAGTCCTCGGAGAAAAGCTGCGCCTTCCATGTTAATTACAGGAAGTGAGAGCGACAAAAAACTCACTGTCAAGAGAGATTCGCCAGTATGTTCATGTGTGTGAGTGTGTGTGTGTGTGTGTGTGTGTGTGTGTGTGTGTGTGTGTACAGTTCTTTCCTCTTTATTTATTGAGGGAAGTATGGAGGGGGCTAATCCACTGGAGAAAAAAAAGCCTTCAGCTTTGAGGGACAAGACCAACACGTGGTGCTTTAAAGAGTCCCTATTTACTTTAGACACTACATACTGATGAACACCTGAACATCAGCAGGAGAGGACTCTTTAAAGTAGAGACACTACATACTGATATACACCTGAACATCAGCAGGAGAGGACTCTTTAAAGTAGAGACACTACATACTGATATACACCTGAACATCAGCAGGAGAGGGACTCTTTAAAGTAGAGACACTACATACTGATATACACCTGAACATCAGCAGGAGAGGACTCTTTAAAGTAGAGACACTACAGACTGATATACACCTGAACATCAGCAGGAGAGGACTCTTTAAAGTAGAGACAGTACATACTGATATACACCTGAACATCAGCTGGGAGAGGACTCTTTAAAGCAGTTATAGTACATACAGTTAAAGCATGGAGACATGATCTCACCGGACATGAAGCTGTCTGTGATGTTCAGGTTGTTGAGCGACAGACCCAGCGACTGACGGGAGGAGGACGAAGACGTGCTTGAGGTTTCGGACGGAGGGCGGGCAGATTTGGGGGGAGGGGCCGTCGGCGTGGCGTTCCCGCTGGATTTGAGGCGATCGTTCTCCGATTTCAGCGCCTCGATCTCATTCTGTTGAGGGAAATTCAAGATTCAAGATTCAAAGGTTTTATTGTCATATGCACAAAGCTACAGTGTAGAAAATGAAAAATCTTCTGACCTGAGCCCTTCCAACAATGCAACATATATAATAAAATACAAAAATACAAAATAAAAAGTAGTGCAAAAAGTCTATATACATGTAAATAGAATATGATATGAAAGAGAACGTGTTTAATATATAACAGAAGCTTCGTTCAAAGACCTCATGAATTCACGGCTGTTTTCAGTACATTTACACAAATACCTGTACTTTCTACTTCTTACATGTTGAACACAAATACCTGTACTTTCTACTTCTTACATGTTGAACCCAAATACCTGTACTTTCTACTTCTTACATGTTGAACTCAAATACCTGTACTTTCTACTTCTTACATGTTGAACACAAATACCTGTACTTTCTATTTCTTACATGTTGAACACAAATACCTGTACTTTCTACTTCTTACATGTTGAACTCAAATACCTGTACTTTCTACTTCTTACATGTTAAACTCAAATACCTGTACTTTCTACTTCTTACATGTTGAACTCAAATACCTGTACTTCTACTTCTTACATGTTGAACTCAAATACCTGTACTTTCTACTTCTTACATGTTAAACTCAAATACCTGTACTTTCTACTTCTCACATGTTGAACTCAAATACCTGTACTTTCTACTTCTTACATGTTAAACTCAAATACCTGTACTTTCTACTTCTTACATGTTGAACTCAAATACCTGTACTTTCTACTTCTTACATGTTAAACTCAAATACCTGTACTTTCTACTTCTTACATGTTGAACTCAAATACCTGTACTTTCTACTTCTTACATGTTGAACACAAATACTTGTACTTTCTTCTTCTCTCATTTTCCAAACAGCTGGTTCCTTTAGTCTGAATGTGTGTTTGATGCGTGATCATTATTCTTTAGAGTCATTGCGTGCCTATTGATTTGAACACGATCCGTGTATCCATCATTTCCTCCTGGTCTTCTCTAAAGAAGAGGGACCAATGGAAACGTTGTCATGTTGCCGTTGTTCAGCATGGAAACATTCATTAGCTAACAATGACATTATTGTTCTATTAATATAAAGGGAGCTCAGGTACTCTTTAAAACAGCTGCTAGTTATGGGTACTTTTTACTGAAGTACATTTCAAAGCCTCTTTACTTTGACTTGAGTAAAGAAGTTTAGTCAGTACTTCTACTTTCACCAGAGTACTTTTAAACACGAGTATCTGTACTTCTACTTGAGTACAGGATGTGTTACTTTTGCCATCTCTGTGTGTGTGTGTGTGTGTGTGTGTGTGTGTGTGTGTGTGTGTGTGTGTGTGTGTGTGTGTGTGTGTGTGTTCTCACCTGCATGCGGTTCATGGCCTCTCTGATCTGGTCCAGATGGTGGGCGGAGCTTAGCGCCTCCAATCGGATGTCAGTCAGTTTGAGCTCCTTCTCCCTCAGCTCGTTCTTCAGAAGGAGGATCGTCTCTGCCTCGGCCTCCGTGCATTCACACAGCCTGGAGGGAGGGGGGGCACAACACGGGTTATAACACACACACACATATACACACACACACACACACACACACACTGTAGTGAAGAAACACACACTTAGAGTAAACAGGAAGAGTTTAGAGGGACGCAAGTACTGCCTTTTTACTTTGAATGAGTCGCTAGCATAATGAACAACTTGAATAAGTGCTGCAGATATTCTGAAGACCCTTTTGGGTGCTGTGATAATAGTCCTACCATCACAATTCAATTATTTTCAGAATGAACAGGCAGAGATGTAATAAAACAAGTAGAGAAACATACAATGCGTCTGAAATTCAATGCAATCCATGCTCTGCCTCTGAGAGAAAACAACATCAAACGTCTTGAAAATGGAGGTGTAGCGAAAATCAAAGAATTAAAACAGAAAATGAACTGAAAAAATATATAGCTGCTGTTGAGGCACCAGTGCACAGAACTGCCTCAAAATAAAAGAATAACAAATACTTTAATTTAAGTAAAATAATGGCCATAAGGAATAAATGTATTAAGAAATACAAATCTATAAATAGCTCCAACAGGTATTAATGCAGCTTTACTTGCTTGTTGGAAACATATCAACATGTTTGTTCTGGAGTGACTTCAAACTTTGTTAACCTTTATTGATTCTCATGAACAGGACACTTCAGAAATCCTGACTCAGATTGAGAAATCCTGAGTTTATCGTCTCCGACATGCCGAAGAAAGTCACACCAACACACCCCACTGCACACACACTCCCTGGGGGCATGCCACACACACACACACACACACACACACACACACACACACACACACACACACACACACACACACACACACACACACACACACACACACACACACACACACACACACACACACACACACACCATGTATCCATCACTTCAGGGGACATTACATTGACTTACATGCATTTCCTGGAGACTTATCCTAACCTTAACCATAACCAACACATGCCTAACCCTTAACCAAGTCTTCACACTAAAATTAATGATTCCCCTTATGGGGACCTCCATTATGTACCCATAAGGGAGGCAAGTCCCCACACGTGGCTGTGTAAACAGATGTAGGTCCCCACAAGTATAGTAATGCTAGACCACACACACACACACACACACACACACACACACACACACACACACACACACACACACCACACACACACACACACACACACACACACACACACACACACACACACACACACACACACACACACACACACACACACACCGAGCCTTTTACCGAGATCTGTGCTTGTAGACCACATGACCGTTTAGCCTTCTCTTTGGCGTCCAAACGGGGGAGTAGTTACTGTCACAAAAGCACTTGCTATACAGCGGGAAGGAGGAGCGTTTAATAAAAGAAAAGGATGAAAGGAGAGGTAGGAAAGGAGGCGAAAGAAAAAGGGAAAGTGAAAACGAAATACAGTGAAAATAATTTAAACTCAAGGATTTGACACATAAGGGGTGTGACGAATAATGAATGAAGATGCTTAATACTTTGATTTGATCCCATTTATTGCACGGCTATTCTCTAAATAAATCGATAAGTTGAAGCAACATCTAGATTTTAAAATCTATTTATTGCATATTTAGTTTTCACTGGTACTTATTGATCCATCTAATAGAGTAACAGACAGTCAACTAATGTGTTTTCGTCTCAAGCAAACTCAGTTTCAGTGATAACAGACAAAAGAATGTCCAAATGGACCAATCAGAATTGAGTATTCAGTATTATATTCTAATACATTACTAAATACTATTATTATTATTATTATTATTATTATAAGATACCCAGTTGTTATATAAAGTCATTTTTAATAAACCCCACTTTTACCCCAACATAGACGTGAAGAACACTTTCATTCACCAATATTTCTAATACCATCATTTTAAATATATGGTGCTTTTGAATCGGTCCAATCTGCTTAATGAGTACTTTTACTTTTGGAACTTAAAGTATATGTGATGCTAATCATTTTGTACTTTTAAGTAGATCATATGAGTAAAATATACATATATTATTGAATGAAATTGGGTTTCTGATGAACGAGTGAGTCCTAAAACCCGGAAATGAGTCAGTTTTACTTCTCTCCCTCATATGGAAGTCAGTGCTTTTTTAAATGCATGTAGGAGAAACCCTGTGCATGTGTGTGTGTGTGTGTGTGTGTGTGTGTGTGTGTGTGTGTGTGTGTGTGTGTGTGTGTGTGTGTGTGTGTGTGTGTGTGTGTGTGTGAGGAAGCCTAGTAAACACTCACTCTGTGGTGGAGGCGGAGGAGTGCAGCGTGGCGATGCTGCCCTGCCTGTTGTCGTGCTGCAGTTGTGGGGAGGAAGGCATCGAGTCGGGCATCTCCTCCATCTCATCGTGGGCCGACTGGGATTTAGATTTCTTCTTGCTGAACGCCTGCTTAAAGGAGCTGCGCAACTGCAACACAGATCACACACATATATAAACACGTTAATACTGAAACCCAGCAAGCTGTACCTCTTTGGGGGACAACAGGACCAGGAAGTCACTCTGTCTTAAGAACAGAGGGGAGGCAAAAAGCAAGCCGTAAGTAGATGAGAAGACAGCGATGATGCAGGATTTTAAATGACCCTAAAATCAGGGCGAAATGAACAACGCGGGAAGAAAAAGGAGGAGAAGGAAGGGTCGCTGTATCCATGCCAACGGTTCTACAAAAGAGGAGGTTGCTCTGAGAGAGGAAAAGAAGAAGGGTAGAGGATGGGAAAAACCACGGCACACATTCAGAAGATGCTCCGGGAGAAACTGACCTGAGCGGGGATGGAGTCGGACACCTGGAGACGCAAAACACGGTATGGTATGTTTAGTACTTATGTGGCCTCTAACAAGCACATATGGAGAAGCATGATGCTGTGAGAGAAAGCGCTGAGACAACAGGATTTTTAAATATTCCTAATTCAGACTCTGGAAAACCCTACCAGAAAACTAACTGAAATTCGTCATAAACCGCAGCTGAAAACCAATATGATCTATTAGACACTCCTGTCAAATTGTAATGTATTACTTCATGAATGTCACTTAACAGACTTCGTGGTTTGTCCTGCTTTGCTTTCTGTTATTTTGTTCATGTCTGTAAGACGTTGCTTTTGTCGGAAAACGAGGTGCATCTCAAGGGGTTTATCCTAATAAATACATTTCTATAATTATGCGTCCCCCATAACCCTCCTATGCAGATTGTGTCTACATCGATGACGTCCACCTCCACCTCTAAATAGTCCTAATGTCTCCCAAAACAAAATGGTTGAAGCAGCTTTTATCCACCATGCTGCCAGACTCCCTACCAACAAACACACGTGCGTCCCCCGATAAGTCCTCAACCCTCCGATGCAGATTTATGAAGTCCCCCTCCACCTACCCAGCTCTTCTTCTTCTTCTTCTTGTCCTCGGCGTCCTTCCCGAGGCTGCCCATGCTGGAGTGACTCGCGGCGCTGTTGATGCTCGACATGCTCTCTGAAGAGTGCTGCCGTCTGATCCGCAGGTCTGGAAAACAGGGACACAACCCTCTTTTAATATTCCATTCCTCACACACTTAAAGGTCCCCTAGTGTACTCAATATATCAATATATCACAGGTCTCAGATATATACAGAACCTGTCTCTGATTGGCTGAAACACCAAACAGATCATTGCAGCATTACCCATAAATCCCAGACAGGTTTTTATAGAAATGGATCAAAAAGAGAGAGAATCTTTGTTCCTGAACCGTTCAGAGTCTCTTTCCACAGAGGGGACACATGTTGATGTAGAAGAGACATGAAGAAGAGGGGACACATGTTGATGTAGAAGAGACATGAAGAAGAGGGGACACATGTTGATGTAGAAGAGACATGAAGAAGAGGGGACACATGTTGATGTAGAAGAGACATGAAGAAGAGGGGACACATGTTGATGTAGAAGAAACATGAAGAAGAGGGGACACATGTTGATGTAGAAGAGACATGAAGAAGAGGGGACACATGTTGATGTAGCAGAGACATGAAGAAGAGGGGACACATGTTGATGTAGAAGAGACATGAAGAAGAGGGGACACATGTTGATGTAGAAGAGACATGAAGAAGAGGGGACACATGTAGATGTAGAAGAAACATGAAGAAGAGGGGACACATGTTGATGTAGAAGAGACATGAAGAAGAGGGGACACATGTTGATGTAGAAGAAACATGAAGAAGAGGGGACACATGTTGATGTAGAAGAGACATGAAGAAGAGGGGACACATGTTGATGTAGAAGAGACATGAAGAAGAGGGGACACATGTTGATGTAGAAGAGACATGAAGAAGAGGGGACACATGTAGATGTAGAAGAGACATGGAGAAGAGGGGACACATGTTGATGTAGAAGAGACATGAAGAAGAGGGGACACATGTTGATGTAGAAGAGACATGAAGAAGAGGGGACACATGTTGATGTAGAAGAGACATGAAGAAGAGAGGACACATGTTGATGTAGAAGAGACATGAAGAAGAGGGGACACATGTAGATGTAGAAGAGACATGAGGAAGAGGGGACACATGTTGATGTAGAAGAGACATGAAGAAGAGGGGACACATGTTGATGTAGAAGAGACATGAAGAAGAGGAACGAGGCCAGTGTTCAAACACCTATAAATACTGAGTGTAAATGAAAGACAGCAACAGGTTGTTTTCATTCGATAAAATGCATCAAACGGTGAAACACTAAGTTTTCGAAGGCCTCCTCAAACAATCAGAACTTTAGGAGAGTTTGTTCCAGCCTCCCTGCTGTTTCCTGCCTACCTTTGTGCAGGTGGTCCGGTCCGTTGAGCGCCACCTGGATGGCCGTCTGAGCGTCAGTGTTCTGGGTCTTCAGACACTCGATCGTCTCCCTCAGCTCCACCAGCTCCGTCTCCTGCAGAGAGAGAAGGATGCTCAAAGGATGACGCACGGAAACATGTCTTTCTTTGGCCCAATGTGTTCCTATATCTGGCTTTGGCTCGGCTTTCAGTGGACGGGACGAAGATGAAGAGGACAGGGTTATTTTGAGGAAGTCTCTCAACACGATCAGATAAAAGGACTTTCCTGTAATGCCATGCCCAAAGCACTGCAGATTCCACTTGAATTCAAAGTTAGGTAAGGCCTTGTTTAACGACGAGATTCCACCAAATCCCACTCTGAGTTAATACAGAGGATTACTGAAGAGCTCATTTTGAACAGAGGATATGTGCATCATTCGTGATAGGGACATATTGCTCCTGCATTCAACGTCCTGTCCGTCATACAATGTGACGTCTTGAGGATTTCTGGAGAATTCACTGGTTTTAACCCTCCTATTGTCTTCGTCCCCCCCCCCCCCCCCCCCCCCTTACTTTGGTGTTCCCGGTGAAATGTGACCGGTCCTGTTTTAACTGCTATTACATTAACACAAAAACCATGAATCATCACCACATTTCATTTAACACCCTTTCAAACTGTACATATTGTATCAGACTACTGGTACACATGAACAACTGCAGTAAATATACAAAGAACAGACACTGAACATGTATTGGTGTGCCAGGTGTGATCCATGTGGGGGGAGGGGCACATAAGAGCGGGAACACATCTAGAGTGTGTGTGTGTGTCTTTTGATGTGATGCTGTTTCGTCTCGACTTAATCACTCAATAAAATAAAAAATAACTCCCACACAAAACCAAAGAAATGTAATGAATGTGTGATGACAAAGCGCTTTATCCAATTTAGTTCAAAAGTCTTTTGGCAGATCTTCTCATGCTGTGTTTTGTAGTCAACTATTAGAAGATGCTTTATTGAACACATCGAGCCATATTTCTATTTTGTTTTATTAATATTTGCTTCTTTTTTGCAGACGGAGGAGAAAGCCCACTCAGAGGTAAGCATGGGGATGGTGTGTGTGTGTGTGTGTGTGTGTGTGTGTGTGTGTGTGTGTGTGTGTGTGTGTGTGTGTGTGTGTTTGATATCTGATCCAGATGGTTACTAATTCCTTTTCTTTATGGCGGTCAGACCGGGAACACCATGGTGTTTCAAAGTTGACTAAATCATCCAAAATGCAACGAAAGTGGTGATCAGCCATTGTATATGTTCACATGTCTCCTGTGAAGGATATCATGAAGCCTTAATGCAATCGAATGTAAAACAAAAAAGTTATGATTGATGAAAGCAATCAGATTTGACCCGAAGACAACAGGGGGGTTAAATGTGTTTTGGGGTCCTTGGGTTCATGAAATATGCTGCGAACTGGGACCTTATTGCTTCTCTGAGGCAACACGTGTTTTGGGAAAGGAGTGAATTAAGAGAAACATTCAGGCATATCCTAACATTTTAATACGAAAAACCTTTAATACAACCAGGCAAGCTTTAGCAAGCGTCAGGAACTGAACCTCAAGGTAAAATATACCCTTTAATCCACAACCTTTACACAACCGGTCCCTGTTTCTGATCACTTCTCCTCCCTGTAACCGATATATTCCTGCACTTTAACTTCATCTGCATATTGAAGTATGACTGCTTGTTGTTTGTATGTTGTGTTCTCCTGAATGTTGTACGTCTCTGTTGTACCTGAATAATGACAATAAGGCAGTGGTTCCCAAACTTTTTCAGTCGGGCCCCCCTTGGGTAATTGGAAATATTTTCCGGTTCCCATCTATATTGGTAGGATTAATTGTATATTGTTGTAAAAACATTACATTTTCTCTGCTAATAATAAGAAGATACAAAGATCCAACTATCATTGTATATTTTATTATGGATTACACATTAACAAAAGCGCTTGTAATAGATACTGTGAATTAATTTGGCCTAATTAAAACTAGCAGGCCTTCTTCCCTGAGTAGTAGATTTTTTAATTCAAATTTCTTATTCCTATTCCACACATAGCCTATCAATGACTTGTGTGTGCTTGCTTTCCCTCGCAGATCTTCTCAAAGCGAGGCTGCTGTTTTGAGACTGCCCCTCAGTTCATTCTCAATGTTCAGCTTTGATCTGTATTTGGTTTTGATGGCAGCAAGAAAAGCCGATCTCACACAAGTAGGATGTTGCAAAAGGCAGCAGTATGCCCACAGCTCTCTGACCAATGAGATATTTTCGAGCAGTGTTTGTTTACAATTGAATAATAATAATACATTTGATTTATATAGCACACTTTAAAAACAACGTCATCTCAAGGTGCTTCACAAAGCTAAAAGGAGAAAATAATAATAAAAATAAAAATAAATCTTCCCGCGCCCCCCTGCAGTACCTCCGCAAACCACCAGGGGTCGCGCCCCACAGTTTGAAAACCACTGCAAAAAAGGATTCTATTATATTCTAATCCCTCGTCCATGGAGTTTAACACATTTCAGATGTATATTTCTGAGCTGTGGTACCTTCTGCTCGGCCGTATTGGTGAGGCTCTGCAGGCGGCAGGTCATGTTGCTCAGACTGTTCTCGAAGGCTGCCACCAAGTGAGCCTGAGGACACAGAGAGAGACATGCAAATCATCAGAATACATCAAAACACAAACAACTGACCCATGCAAAAATGATCAGTATTATAAAAGATTGCCTGTGTATTAATCAATATTCTGCTGTTACTCTGCTATGCTTTTTAGCCATGGATAAGTACTTATTTCTATTACTTATGTGTGCTTTTTCCATATTTAACATGTCCGGCAGTGGCTCAGTCAGCAGGGACTTGGACTGTGAGCCGTAGGGTCACCGGTTCAAGTCCCGGAACAGACCTAAATATTGAGTGTGGACTGCTACTTGGAGAGGTCCCAGTTCACCTCCTGCCCTGCGGTGGTGCCCTTGAGCAAGGCACCAGACTTCCCCCCCCCCCCACTCCCATTACTCCCCGGGCGCTGTACAATTGCTGCCCACTGCTCCTAGTACTAGACTCCTGGTACTAGGATGGGTTAAAAGCAGAGGACACATTTCACTGTGTGCATGTGAGACCATTAAAGAGGGGTTCATCCCATTCTATGTAAACTACTTTATAATCTTTCACCTGCTACGTCACTTTTGCTGTAAATCTCCCCGCTTCGGGACTTATAAAGAATTTCTGATTCTGAATATTCGTGAATGCTAGCTAGAAGAAAATTCATTGACAGAGAATTGAAACGTGGGGTTTCTGGTAAGAGAAGTCAGGTTTCTTTTAAGTCAAACAAGACAAAGGAGCAAAAGTAAAAAAATTCAAATCTGAAGGCTGTTATTGTGAAGAGGTAAAATATAAACTAGTGATATCTTGTAAAAAATACAACGCACAGCCCTTTCATTTCACCATACATTATCAGAATAGGCAGATGTATGGAGAGCTTTTTATAGCTTTACAGTTGCATCTTATTGCCGTCAATAGTGTTTCTATAGTATTGTATGTTCAAAGGTTTGATCTTACAACAACATGGTTATCTATTTATATATAAATATCGTCAAGGCCCCAGCGGGAATCGAACTCGCGACCCCTGGTTTACGAGACCAGTGCTCTAACCCCTGAGCTATGGAGCCTGATTACAGGCCCCGGCATGCAGGAAACATTCCAACCCCCGCACGGACAACACTAAGGAAACACAAAGGAAACTAACAGCCTCTTTAAGAAACGAAAGACATTCAAAGAGAAACATTTCAGGTAGGAAAGCAACAGAAGTATTATATATAGAAAACACAAACATATATATTTTTAAACGGATTTAGAGCAAAAAAGGTTGGATACACATTTCCCAAATGTGGTAAAACTGTTTTGAGAAAACCTTTTTCTTGACACTCCCTGGCGTCATGAGTCACCTGAAGCTGCAGAGGTGACACATTTGAAGAGGGAAGAAGTGTTTCCACCTGCTCTGCTGAACCTCAGGTGTCTGTATGAGTGTGTGTGTGTGTGTGTGTGTGTGTGTGTGTGTGTGTGTGTGTGTGTGTGTGTGTGTGTGTGTGTGTGTGTGTGTGTGTGTGTGTGTGTGTGTGTGTGTGTGTGCGTGCGTGCGTGTGTATCTGGAGTGGCCGTGCATGTGTTTTTCCAGTCTATTTTTGTCTCTGAATGAATGCTGAAGCCTTATGTTCCTGGTTATGTGTCCTGATCTGTGAAATGTGTGTGTGTGACTGTGTGGTAGTATGTGTGTGTGTGTGTGTGTGTATCTAGCTCATCCTCACATCCTTAGCCAGAGACCCTGAGCCACCTGTCAGACCTGGTGTGTCACAGAGACGTGGGCAGTGTGCCCAGGCAGATCACACACACACACACACACACACACACACACACACACACACACACACACACACACACACACACACACACACACACACACACACACACACACACACACACACACACACACACACACACACACACACACACACACACACACACACACACACACACACACACACACACACACACACACACACACACACACACAGTGTCCCCAGCTGCAAAGCAAAGGTCTTACAGTGACCTTTAGAAACACCAACTGTTCCTGCTGTGAGCTCCGTTTCAACAACGTTCAAAAATGTTTGCGTTGCGATAAAAGAACGAGGCATTGTACATTTGAAGGTGAGCAAAGCAGAACAGAAGTTGTCTTACTCTATCCTTCATAACTTCTAACGTCTAATTTGATCAAGTTTCCTGAAGTTTCTCCTTCAGTTTCAGCTCTGAGAACAAAGCATCAGACCGGAGCCGGCATTTAGGGCGTTGAGTGGAGTCAGACAGAGGTGGGAAGTAGTGGAGTACAAATACTTCGTTACTGCACTTAAGTACATGTTTCTGGTATCAGTACTTTACTCCACTACTTATTTTTCTGACGACTTTTTACTTTGACTTCTTACATTTTGAACACAAATACCTGTACTTTCTACTTCTTACATGTTGAACACAAATACCTGTACTTTCTACTTCTCACATGTTGAACACAAATACCTGTACTTTCTACTTCTTACATGTTGAACACAAATACCTGTACTTTCTACTTCTTACATGTTGAACCCAAATACCTGTACTTTCTACTTCTTACATGTTGAACACAAATACCTGTACTTTCTACTTCTTATATGTTGAAACCAAATACCTGAACTTTCTACTTCTTACATGTTGAACCCAAATACCTGTACTTTCTACTTCTCACATGTTGAACTCAAATACCTGTACTTTCTACTTCTTATATGTTGAAACCAAATACCTGTACTTTCTACTTCTTACATGTTGAACCCAAATACCTGTACTTTCTACTTCTTATATGTTGAAACCAAATACCTGAACTTTCTACTTCTTACATGTTGAACTCAAATACCTGTACTTTCTACTTCTTACATGTTGAACCCAATTACCTGTACTTTCTACTTCTTATATGTTGAAACCAAATACCTGAACTTTCTACTTCTTACATGTTGAACCCAAATACCTGTACTTTCTACTTCTTACATGTTGAACACAAATACCTGTACTTTCTACTTCTTATATGTTGAAACCAAATACCTGAACTTTCTACTTCTTACATGTTGAACCCAAATACCTGAACTTTCTACTTCTTACATGTTGAACACAAATACCTGTACTTTCTACTTCTTATATGTTGAAACCAAATACCTGAACTTTCTACTTCTTACATGTTGAACCCAAATACCTGTACTTTCTACTTCTTACATGTTGAACTCAAATACCTGAACTTTCTACTTCTTACATGTTGAACCCAAATACCTGTACTTTCTACTTCTTATATGTTGAACTCAAATACCTGTACTTTCTACTTCTCACATGTTGAACTCAAATACCTGAACTTTCTACTTCTTACATGTTGAACCCAAATACCTGTACTTTCTACTTCTTATATGTTGAAACCAAATACCTGTACTTTCTACTTCTCACATGTTGAACCCAAATACCTGTACTTTCTACTTCTCACATGTTGAACTCAAATACCTGTACTTTCTACTTCTTATATGTTGAAACCAAATACCTGTACTTTCTACTTCTTACATGTTGAACCCAAATACCTGAACTTTCTACTTCTCACATGTTGAACTCAAATACCTGTACTTTCTACTTCTTACATGTTGAACCCAAATACCTGTACTTTCTACTTCTCACATGTTGAACTCAAATACCTGTACTTTCTACTTCTTATATGTTGAAACCAAATACCTGTACTTTCTACTTCTTACATGTTGAACCCAAATACCTGTACTTTCTACTTCTCACATGTTGAACTCAAATACCTGTACTTTCTACTTCTTATATGTTGAAACCAAATACCTGAACTTTCTACTTCTTACATGTTGAACCCAAATACCTGAACTTTCTACTTCTTACATGTTGAACCCAAATACCTGAACTTTCTACTTCTTACATGTTGAACCCAAATACCTGAACTTTCTACTTCTTACATGTTGAACCCAAATACCTGTACTTTCTACTTCTTACATGTTGAACTCAAATACCTGTACTTTCTACTTCTCTCATTTTCCAAACAGCTGGTTCCTTTAGTCTGAATGTGTGTTTGATGCGTGATCATTATTCTTTAGAGTCATTGCGTGCCTATTGATTTGAACACGATCCGTGTATCCATCATTTCCTGGTCTTCTCTAAAGAAGAGGGACCAATGGAAACGTTGTCATGTTGCCGTTGTTCAGCATGGAAACATTCATTAGCTAACAATGACATTATTGTTCTATTAATATAAAGGGAGGTCAGGTACTCTTTAAAGCAGCTGCTAGTTATGGGTACTTTTTACTGAAGTACATTTCAAAGCCTCTTTACTTTTACTTGAGTAAAGAAGTTTAGTCAGTACTTCTACTTTCACCAGAGTACTTTTAAACACGAGTATCAGGATGTATGTACTCTGTGGAGTCAGACTCAGGAGATTTACCACAGCTCTGTCTGGGGGTCGAGGGTCTCTCTGCATCGCTCTCACCCACGCAGGGCACTCTTGAGTCGAGCTTCACTTATCCTCATCTCCCTGACTCTTTCTCCATTTGATTTTCCCTGCATGCTTGTATTTGGTTGCAGCTTATTCTCTCGCTGAAATCCCAGCGGACGACACAAAGGCAAAGAGACGATCCTCTCTGTGCAGCAGATACACAAACACACGGAAGAACACATCCCATCTAGGGACAGCAACAAACATCTCACAATTAGAAGCGTAAACACACACACACACACACGCAAACACACACGCACACACACACATACCATGTATACATTCACTTCAGGGGACATTACATTAACTTACATGCATTTCCTGGAGACTTATCCTAACCATAACCATAACCAACACATGCCTAACCCTAATCCTTACCCTTAACCTTACCCTAACCCTAATCCTAAACCTAACCAAGTCTTCACCCTAAAATTAATGATTCCCCTCATGGGGACCTCCAATTTGTCCCCATAAGGGAAGCCAGTCCCCACACGTGACTGTGTAAACAGATTTAGGTCCCCACAAGTATAGTAATGCTAGACCACACACACACACACACACACACACACACACACACACACACACACACACACAACACACACACACACACACACACACACACACACACACACACACACACACACACACACACACACACACACACACACACACACACACGGCTTCAAAGACAGAGAAAAACACTTGGGCGTCTTAAAGATTTATATTCCTCCAAGTCGTTCCTATAAAGCGTTCCAGCAGCAGGTTGTTATGCTAATAAGCCGGCTGTTTTGAGGACGTATTTCAAATGAACTCACGTTGGCAGACAGCTGAGACGTCAGGGTCGCCACCTTCTCCTGAGAGGTGTCCAGCTCGCGGCGAAGCTTTCTGATTTGCTGTTCGGGAAATAAAGAGAAAAGCAGGTATATAGTTTCCACTCCTGAAGAGGACTGAATAAGACGTTCAAAAGTTCCGTGTGGATAACTGTGATGTGCAGTAAGAGAAGACACTGGGGGGAAGTGTGGGGGATTACCGTGGAATTTTGGACTGTTTGGCCCTTGATTGAAAAGAGAAGAGTAAAACAAAAATAAAATTAACACTTAGGTAAGTAATCCACAAGCTCAGTGCCAGATGTGTTCATTTACCAAAATAGAAAGTATAAGAGTATCACACTCAAGATGAGTTCAAAATGGCTGTCAAAAGGACATCTGGTTTATGACATATTTCCTGTCTTTTTAGGATATAAGAATCCCCCAGAATATGCCAATGAAGTCCTTATTGTTTCTTATTCTCATTGCCAAAACTCTTAAGAACAGTAAAGCCCTGAGTAAAGGATGACAACAAGCTCAAATTCACGAGTATGGCACCTGTCTTAGGATATGAAAGTAGAAAACATTGTGCTTTGATTGACATGGAGAGACTCTCTGAATAAGCGGTGCCACACACACGCGCACACACACACACGCACACACCCACACACACACACACACACACACACACACACACACACACACACACACACACACACACACACACACACACACACACACACACACACACACACACACACACACAGAACATCCAAGTGCAGAAACACAGCCAGCAGTCACCTGAAAGGCAGCAAAACACACACGTAATGGCAGACAGACAGACAGACAGACAGACGGACAGATGGATAGAACACACACACACACACACACACACACACACACACACACACACACACACACACACACACACACACACACACACCACACACACACACACACACACACACACACACACACACACACACACACACACACACACACACACACACACACACACACACACACACACACACACACACACACACACACCATGTATACATCACTTCAGGTGACATTACATTGACTTACATGCATTTCCTGAAAACTTATCCTAACTTTAACCATAACCAGTGTTGGGACTAACGCGCCACAAAGTAACGCGTTACAAATAACGCGTTACTGCAACGCCGTTATTTTTGGCAGTAACTAGTACTCTAACGCATTACTTTTTAAATTCAGTAACTCAGTTACCGTTACTACATGGTGCGTTACTCCGTTAGTTTTTTTATATAGTCAACAGCCAGGCGAACAGAGATGATAACTGTACTTAAGTACTTGAGTAAATGTACTTCAATACTTCCTGCGTCACATGCGGAGACGGGCTGTGGGCGTGTTTGTGTTGTTTACTAATGGCGCGTTTCCACTGCAGGCCTCGCTCGGCCTCGCTCGGTTTGGTTAGGCCTTATTAGGCCGGCTCACTTTAATGCTGCGTTTCCATTACAGTTTAGGAACTGGGGCAGTTACTATAGTAACGCAGTGTAGGCGGAGCCGTGACGTCATCTTCAATGAGAGCCCCAGAAAAACAACACAGCCGTTAGCTCTTAGCACTCAGAGCTCACAGCTCCTCATATCTGTTCAGAAACTAGACAAAAGTTAAACAAGTACAAACCACAGACTGCCTGTGTCATGGCGAATACAGTCGCTGGTTTATTTATGTCTGTAGGCCGTTGTTGTGAGTGTGGACGGTCGGAGCATATATAACGTTAGCTTAGCCAAGCTACATTTAGAAAACACGCATTTTAAAAGGGTTTTTCGCCTGCATTAATTCATGGTTTTTACTAACCGGTATCAGTATGTTGTTAATTCGGCATAATTTTGAAACGTGTATTACAATTAAATCACGGTCAAATATGTTCATTTTGTTGTAGTTGTAGCCCCCTTGCCAGCGATTCTCTCTCTAGTTTAGCATACTCAGCCCGACTCAGCCTGGTTGTTCCTGGCCCTAGAACCACGATTTAGTCGGGCCAGAAAAAAGGTGAAAAAGTAGCCCTGGGCCAAAACTAGGCCAAGTGGAAAGGCAACCAAAAACGGGCCCCGCACGGCTCGGCACGCTTAAAGCGAGCTACCCGCTGCAGTGGAAACGCGCCATCACAAGACTATCATGGCGGCGGCGGAGCTCAAGTCTAGTTTCTCCACCTGGAGATATTCTCACTATTTCACTTTTGTCGAGCACAAAGAAAAGAACGTTTTAGTTAAATGTAAGTTGTGTCTTGGCGGGTCAAAGATTCTATCTACTGCCCAAACCAGTCATTCAAATCTCTTAAAACATCTGCAAAAACAACATGCTGGGACGAAGCTAGGAGCTAAGACCACAGAGACTCAGCCGACGCCACTCCACCTCCACCTAAGCAACAGCGGCTGGATTTTAACCGAGGGACTGCTGGCCAGGGAAAAGTCGATAAAGCCATTGCACGGTATGTTGTAGAACACATGCAGGCTATTGCTACAGTGGAGTCACCCGCTTTCAGGGAGCTAGTTAGCATGATAGCATGTCCGGGCGGCACACGGTATATGGGACGGAAAACTTTTTCCAACTACCTGGAGAAAGAATATGCAAAAATGGAAAGCCAGCTAATATCGATGCAATCCAGATTGCATATAATGCATGTCAAGTTGATCGACAGATTGTATTATTCTCCAATGCAATAACAGTACTGAAATGAAGGCTATGAGGGCATTAATGGGAGACCTTTTTTTTAAGTAACTAAAACGTTACTTTTCACAGTAACGCATTACTTTTGGGTGTAAGTAATCAGTAAAGTAACTGAGTTACTTTTGACATGAAGTAACTAGTAATGGTAACTAGTTACTGGTTTTCAGTCACTAGCACAACACTGACCATAACCAACACATGCCTAACCCTTAACCTAACCAAGTCTTCACCCTAAAATTAATGATTCCCCTCATGGGGACCTCCATTTTGTCCCCATAAGGGAGGCGAGTCCCCACACGTGACTGTGTAGACAGATTTAGGTCCCCACAAGTATAGTAATACTTGGCCACACACACACACACACACACACACACACACACACACACACACACACACACACACACACACACACACACACACACACACACACACACACACACACTTCCCCATGCTTCCCCATGCTTACCTCTGAGTGGGCTTTCTCCTCCGTCTGCAAAAAAGAAGCAAATATTAATAAAACAAAATAGAAATATGGCTCGATGTGTTCAATAAAGCATCTTCTAATAGTTGACTACAAAACACAGCATGAGAAGATCTGCCAAAAGACTTTTGAACTAAATTGGATAAAGCGCTTTGTCATCACACATTCATTACATTTCTTTGGTTTTGTGTGGGAGTTATTTTTTATTTTATTGAGTGACTAAGTCGAGACGAAACAGCATCACATCAAAAGACAAGTTACAAAGCAGGACAGAGACAGTAAACTGAAAATACACCATGGGTTTGGACTGTTCGTGTATGTTGTGTGTGTGAGTGTGTGTGTTATCTGTTTGATCCTCCCTGATGCATTTGGTGGGCATCTGCAGTAGTTTACTTTAGGGTTTAGCGGTGGAGAGACTCACCGCAGAGTAGAGTGAAGACGTGCTGGAGACCAGAGACAACGAAGAGCCGTGGACTGAAAGACAACACGGAGATTAACGAGGGACTAAACAAAAGGATTAACTAAATATAAATGTGACACTTCACAATCTTGCACGAATGTACATTTCCCAAAGATATTGAAGTAACTGTTTTGTACATATTGATAGTTGTGCTTTTATATATGTCTCAATGTGTGCATATGTATAAATTCTGCGTTCTAGTTAATCTGACCACGAGTGAACTCTGAAGTCTTTAATACTAATAAGAGTAAGTCCTCTTTGAAACGCAGGTCATTCAAAGTGTGTGTGTCAGAGTGTGTGTTACCTTCGTCCGTGCTGTCCCTGAAGGACCCCGAGCGGCTGATGCCTCTCTGCCGGTCCTCCAGAGAGGTGTTGCTGCCCCCCAGAGGGTGGTCCTCTCCGTACAGGTCGAAGGAGTCGTGGGCCGGGATGCTGTTGGAGCGACTCATGCTGCTGCTGGGGGGGGGCAGGGTGTACTGGCTGCTGTTAGTGGGACTCACTGGGGGGAGGAGGGGAGACACAGATAAGATAATATACTTTATTGATCCCAATTTGGGAAATGTTTGCGTTGTAGCAGCAGCATATATATATATACATATATACAAGGCAATAAGAGACATTAAAGCCCACCTAATATGCAAAATCCACTTGTTATGCCCAAAAATAGTATAACAGGAGACCCTTTAAAGGCCCCCTATTATACTGTTTTTCATCAATATATCACAGGTCTCAGATATATACAGAACCTGTCTCTGATTGGCTGAAACACCAAACAGATCATTGCAGCATTACCCATAATCCCCTCTGTTTCAGCCCTGTTTCCAAAGTGATGATTCTCTGTCTGTTACTTTAGATGAAAATAAGGAGCCCCTCCCCACGCCCCTCTGAGAGAGATTTGGTTACAAAGAACTCAATGGTGCTCTAGAGGAGATTCAGGTGATAAGGGGGGGGGGGTTACCTTGGTTGCTGATTGGCTAATGGTTACACAAGACAAAACATCGTTATGACATCATAAAGTGGCCAAAATCTGATCAGCTCATTTTCAGACAGGTTTTTATAGAAATGGATCAAAAAGAGAGAGAATCTTTGTTCCTGAAACTTTCAGAGTCTCTTTCCACAGAGGGGACACATGTTGATGTAGAAGAGACATGAAGAAGAGGGGACACATGTTGATGTAGAAGAGACATGAAGAAGAGGGGACACATGTTGATGTAGAAGAGACATGGAGAAGAGGGGACACATGCTGATGTAGAAGAGACATGAAGAAGAGGGGACACATGTTGATGTAGAAGAGACATGAAGAAGAGGGGACACATGCTGATGTAGAAGAGACATGAAGAAGAGGGGACACATGTTGATGTAGAAGAGACATGAAGAAGAGGGGACACATGTTGATGAAGAAGAGGGGACACATGTTGATGTAGAAGAGACATGAAGAAGAGGGGACACATGTTGATGTAGAAGAGACATGAAGAAGAGAGGACACATGTTGATGTAGAAGAGACATGAAGAAGAGGGGACACATGTTGATGTAGAAGAGACATGAAGAAGAGGGGACACATGTTGATGTAGAAGAGACATGAAGAAGAGGGGACACATGCTGATGTAGAAGAGACATGAAGAAGAGGGGACACATGTAGATGTAGAAGAGACATGAAGAATAGGGGACACATGTTGATGTAGAAGAGACATGAAGAAGAGGGGACACATGTTGATGTAGAAGAGACATGAAGAAGAGGGGACACATGTTGATGTAGAAGAGGCATGAAGAAGAGGATGTTTTTGCATAATAGGTGACCTTCAAAACAAACAGCAGAGTGTATCTGACAGACGTACGCAGGTTGGAGTAGTGGTATCTCCCCGTGGTGCACGAGGCTCCAGGAGGGGACAGAGGTGATTGGCTGCCGGTGTCCTGAAGCCCCCCTGTGGAGTGAGACCTCAACCACTCCTTCCCCTCCTCATGGGACGTCTGCCTGGAGGACGGAGGGTACCTGAACGCCACACACACAGGAAGTAAGTATGATCCAAAAAGCGATTATGAAAATATGTGGATGAAATGACAAGAGGTGGGAGAAATACTCTTGTACTTGAGTAAAAGTAGAAGTACTCAGATCTTGTATTTTAGTAAAAGTAGAAGTACTCAGATCTTGTACTTGAGTAAAAGTAGAAGTACTCAGATCTTGTACTTGAGTAAAAGTAGAAGTACTCAGATCTTGTACTTAGTAAAAGTAGAAGTACTCAGATCTTGTACTTGAGTAAAAGTAGAAGTACTCAGATCTTGTACTTGAGTAAAAGTAGAAGTACTCAGATCTTGTACTTGAGTAAAAGTAGAAGTACTCAGGTCTTGTACTTAGTAAAAGTAGAAGTACTCAGATCTTGTACTTGAGTAAAAGTAGAAGTATTCAGATCTTGTACTTGAGTAAAAGTAGAAGTACCAGAGTGTAGGAATACTCTGTTACAGTAAAAGTCCTGCATTCAAAATGTACCTCAAGTAAAAGTAGGAAAGTATTCTCATCAAAATATAGTGAAAGACAGTAAAAGTAGTCGTTGTGCAGATTGGTCCATTTCAGAATAATATATATGATATGTTTTATAATGATTGATCATGAAAGTGTTCTCAAAGCTGGTAAAGGTGCAGCTAGTTTGAATGACTTTGTATACTGCAGGGTAGCTGGTGGATTTACTCCAGGTGGAACTAAAGTCTGATTCAACACTTGATTAGATTTCACATCATTCATCCACATCTGTGAAGAAACTAAAGGGATTAGATACATGTAGAGGAGTAAAAGTACACAGTAGCATGACATGGAAATACTCAAGTAAAGTACAAGTACCTCAACATTTAACTAAAGTACTGCATGAGTGCTACAAAATAAAAGGATGTGAGCAGATGGCAAAAAACAACATGCAGCCACACACACACACACACACACACACACACACCCACACACACACACACACACACACACACACACACACACACACACACACACACACACACACACACACACACACACACACACACGTTTAAAGCTGCCAAACACACTGCTGTTCATCTCTTCCCTCTAAGTGGCTCAGCAGCAGAAGGCCTCCTGATCGCAGGCGTGACAATCGGCCATATTTAATCCTTTGAGGATCATAATTAGGTTTGCACACGTCCCTTTTCAGCGCCGTTTTGCTTGCAGATTTTTCCTATTACTACGCCTTTCACGTCTGACCCTGCGTTAGTCCCTTACAACTGTGACTCATGTCCCCCCTGCAGGGATTGGGCGTCTTTAAAGTGTTTTGATTTGTGTGACACAGAGATTGACTCTTTGAGAAACGCCCGTAAACAAGCTTATTTATCGGAGTAAATGAGGCTATTACTAGTCTAAGCTTCTCTTGTAGAAATCTAAAGATCAGGCAAACATGTGGCGTAGCTTAAGCGTCTTTACAAAATATATAGTATAGAAAAAAACTGTGTCTTTGCTCACGTCCAACAGAAGTGAAGTGTAGAATACAATCGGATGCATTACGCCCAAAACATCCAAATGCCACGGAAATAAAAGGCAGCATTCCTCTTCCACATAATTGGAAAGTGGCTCCTCGTTCCCTGAAGATGTCGAACCCTGTCATGTTTTATGGTATTTCTGTCCCAGTGTCTTTAGTCGAGGCGAAAATCAAAGTATTGAAAAAATACATTCATGCTTGATCATCTAAGGCAGCATTTAGGGACACGATCTGGTATTTAAATGGTTGTTATTACTCTTGTAAAACAGCATTTTGTCGAGGTCTATCAACAGGTTGAAATGTGTGTTTTCATTCTTTTTGTAATACTTTTAAATGTGGTTATTAAGTGTAAATGCTGCATGAATTAAAGAGGTGCTATAATGCTTTGTTGGCTTTCCTGTAGTGTGTTATATAGGTTTTTAGTGCATGTCAATGGTCTGCAAAGGCTACAATTCCAAAGTTCCCACTCGCGCTTCTATTGGCTAGCGTTCAACACATTGTACGTGATAGGCTAAGGGGCGGGACATCTCTTATCGGTTGACCAATCACAACAGAGCCGGCCAGGTAACCAATGTAGAGACACTACATACTGATATACACCTGAACATCAGCAGGAGAGGACTCTTTAAAGTAGAGACACTACATACTGATATACACCTGAACATCAGCAGGAGAGGACTCTTTAAAGTAGAGACACTACATACTGATATACACCTGAACATCAGCAGGAGAGGACTCTTTAAAGTAGAGACACTACATACTGATATACACCTGAACATCAGCAGGAGAGGACTCTTTAAAGTAGAGACACTGCATACTGATATACACCTGAACATCAGCAGGAGAGGACTCTTTAAAGTAGAGACACTACATACTGATATACACCTGAACATCAGCAGGAGAGGACTCTTTAAAGTAGAGACACTACATACTGATATACACCTGAACATCAGCAGGTGAGGACTCTTTAAAGTAGAGACACTACATACTGATATACACCTGAACATCAGCAGGAGAGGACTCTTTAAAGTAGAGACACTACATACTGATATACACCTGAACATCAGCAGGAGAGAACTCTTTAAAGTAGAGACACTACATACTGATATACACCTGAACATCAGCAGGAGAGAACTCTTTAAAGTAGAGACACTACATACTGATATACACCTGAACATCAGCAGGAGAGGACTCTTTAAAGTAGAGACACTACGTACTGATATACACCTGAACATCAGCAGGAGAGGACTCTTTAAAGTAGAGACACTACATACTGATATACACCTGAACATCAGCAGGAGAGGACTCTTTAAAGTAGAGACACTACATACTGATATACACCTGAACATCAGCAAGAGAGGACTCTTTAAAGTAGATACACTAAATACTGATATACACCTGAACATCAGCAGGAGAGGACTCTTTAAAGTAGAGACACTACATACTGATATACACCTGAACATCAGCAGGAGAGGACTCTTTAAAGTAGAGACACTATATACTGATATACACCTGAACATCAGCAGGAGAGGACTCTTTAAAGTAGAGACACTACACACTGATATACACCTGAACATCAGCAGGAGAGAACTCTTTAAAGTAGAGACACTACATACTGATATACACCTGAACATCAGCAGGAGAGGACTCTTTAAAGTAGAGACACTACATACTGATATACACCTGAACAGTACCCTATAGCCACAGCACACCACATACAGCCACATAAAAAGCACACTTTAAATGGGACAGAGTAATGTAAAGTAATGGAGTATGTAAATAAAAAGGGAGCAGTAGAGTCTGCAGATGTTTTGTACCTCAGTCCCTTTTTGGGGAGCGTGTTTCTGTCAAGAGGCATGCTGTTAAAACACAGAGGATGAGTGGATTAGATGACATAAAAACACTTTGGTCACATTTTAAAACACAAAGACATAAGCAATGAACACAACAAAAACACATCTAATGCAACACTGACAACACATGTAAAAGATAGGCCAATTTAAATATCAACTAGAAAGATAACATCTCACTTTGTGGCTTAATGCATGCACAGTATGTCGACAAAACAATGGGAACAACCATAGACTGTATATATAAAGGGAACAACCTGGAAAAAAGACTTTCAATGGACTAAATATTGTGTAGGAATTTTTCTGGCATGGTTTTGGACCAACAGCCTGTTCTTGAACATTAAGTCTGTGTCTGAAACCACTCATTGCTCACTATATAGTCCATTAAATAGCCACTCTGTAGTGCTGTCCAAATGTCAGAAGTATGAAACCCTAAGTATCCCACAATGCATCGTAAAAAGCAGTGAAAAATCGCATTTGAATCCATCATGCGTTACGGTGAATGAAAAACCGCAGACAGTAGATGGAGCTAAACATTAATGTGGTAATGTGAGCACTTAGTTTGAATTAATTCACGTCTGTTGTTACATTTACACCGTAGACATGTACAGTGCTTTCCCCTGTGGTGATCTGAATACTTCTTCCACCGCAGGATTTCCCGAAGTGAAACGGTAAATGCAACTTGTTGTGAGTCGTAAAATGTTAGTCAACCAAAAACCACGCCAGGAAAACAAACTAATGCTGGGTGAATTTATTCCTGTTCCTTTGTAAATACCACAGGAGCCTCCTCTGCATTATGTCTGTTCTCTTACTGTATGAAACAATGATCCACTCATCCTCTCCCCTGCTACTCACCCCTCGGACAAGGTGGACTTGACGCTGCCGGTGCGAGCCACCTTGTGCCCCTGGTGCCCCAGCGGCAGGTCGATGGACTCGATGGAGCTGGCCGTCAGACTGCTCATGCTCTGGCAGCTCAGAGTGTCCTTACTGCCCTGCGAGGAGCCACATGTGGGCCAGGGCCGAGCGTTGGAGGGCAGCGAGAGGCCGGACGCAGGGCTGGAGGCGGGGGACTCGCTGCACAGATCGGGGGTTTTCCCGTAGAGCGGACTGCTACCTCCGCTGAGACCCCCGGCGCTGCCCAGACTCCCCGAGGAGGGCGAGTCCAGACTGCCCTGCCTCCCCAGCACCGACGGGCACTTTCCAGAGTCAGGGGTGCCCGGAGAACTGGCCTTGCTGCTGGCTTTGGTGCCAAACAATCTGGCGGAGGGGTATAGAGAGAGGAGGTGAGGAGGGAGTTTAGAGAAAGCTCAAAAGAAAGTTGATCGGTGAGAATTTGGAACTTTGAGGAAGTGGATTACATTGAGGTTAAGTATGATGTTGTATTATGTGTTTTTTATGCTGCTGCAACGCAAAAATGTCCCAAATTGGGATCAATAAAGTACCTATCTATCTATCTATCTATCTATCTATCTATCTATCTATCTATCTATCTATCTATCCATCTATCTAGCTATCTATCTATCTATCTATCTATCTATCTATCTATCTATCTATCTATCTATCTATCTATCTATATATCTATCTATCTATCTATATATCTATCTATCTATCTAACTATCTATCTATCTATCTATCTATCCATCTATCTATATATCTATCTATCTATCTAACTATCTATCCATCTATCTATCTATCTATCTATATATCTATCTATCTATCTATCTATCTATCTATCTATCTATCTATCTATCTATCTATCTATCCATCTATCTATCTATCTATCTATCTATCTATCTATATATCTATCTATCTATCTAACGATCTATCTATCTATCTATCTATCCATCTATCTATATATCTATCTATCTATCTAACTATCTATCCATCTATCTATCTATCTATCTATATATCTATCTATCTATCTATCTATCTATCTATCTATCTATCTATCTATCTATATATCTATCTATCTATCTATCTATATATCTATCTATCTATCTATCTATCTATCTATCTATCTATCCATCTATCTTTATATCTATCTATCTATCTATCTATCTATCTATCTATCTATCTATCTATCCATCTATCTATCTATCTATCTATCTATCTATCTATCTATCTATCTATCTATCTATCTATCCATCTATCTATATATCTATCTATCTATCTAACTATCTATCTATCTATCTATCTATCTATCCATCTATCTATATATCTATCTATCTATCTAACTATCTATCCATCTATCTATCTATCTATCTATATATCTATCTATCTATCTATCTATCTATCTATATATCTATCTATCTATCTATCTATATATCTATCTATCTATCTATCCATCTATCTATCTATCTATCTATCTATCTATCTATCTATATATCTATCTATCTATCTATCTATCTATATATCTATCTATCTATCTATCCATCTATCTATCTATCCATCTATCTTTATATCTATCTATCTATCTATCTATCTATCTATCCATCTATCTATCTATCTATCCATCTATCTATCTATCCATCTATCTATCTATCTATCTATCTATCCATCTATCTATCTATCTATCTATCTATCTATCTATCTATCTATCTATCTATCTATCTATCTATCTATCTATCTATCTATCTATCTATCTATCTATATATCTATTACTGCATTGGATCAACAAACTCAAGGTTTAGTGCACTTTATTGAAAAACAGACATTTAGGCCCCATTCCAAACCGACCCCTGACACCTTCTGCCAAATAATCTGAGATAGGGAGTATAGAGAAGAGGGTGAGGAAAGGTTTTAGAGAAAATCTCAAAAGAAAGTTGATAGGTGAGAATGTGGTACTTTGAGGAAGTGGATTACATTGAGGTGAACTACATATGGTGTTGTTATACTGCATTGAATCTTATGGCCCCATTCCAAACCGACCCCTGACACCTTCTGCCAAATAATCTGAGATAGGGAGTATAGATAAGAGGGTGAGGAAAGGTTTTAGAGAAAATCTCAAAAGAAAGTTGATAGGTGAGAATGTGGTACTTTGAGGAAGTGGATTACATTGAGGTGAACTACATATGGTGTTGTTATACTGCATTGAATCTTATGGCCCCATTCCAAACCGACCCCTGACACCTTCTCCCTCCCAAACACATTTATCTCTCATAGCCAACTCATCTCAGCTCACTAATTTGCATCGACACATCTGCTTTCACAGCTTTGCCCGTTTCAACCCCGTGACTCTGAAGCACCTCACATGTTTCCTCTCGCTCACATGCTCACTGTTGGGACAATTCTGAAAGTACTCTTCCAGTATCAGAGTAACATGATAACAAAGGCATCAACTGTAGCTGTGAACATGACAGGATGTGTGATGACCTAGAAGAGCATCAGGACTGTTTGAGGCATATGATAGCTATGTGATTAACATGATGATTCAGCCTCTATGGAGAGAGACATCAAGCATGCTCATTTCTGACGTGGAGCTAATCTGAAGTAAACATTGAAGACTGCTTTCTATTCCTCCATCTTGTGACTGTGTAACTCCCTCTCTTGGATATCAGCATGTGAAGGACACTGTTCAGGAACTAGTTGATGCTCTGTATGTGATGACTCCTTCCATTCTGGAGAGGATCACAGATACATGGATCCTGAGATTGAAGCTCAAGCTGGTGACGAGTGATTATTAACATTTTTAAGTATTCAGAAAGTCCGGATTTTGAGAAAAAGTTAGATTTTTTTGATTTTGAGAAAAATATAGAATTTTGAGAAAAAGTCATAATTTTGAGATTTTGAGAAAAATACAATAATTTTGAGATTTTGAGAAAAAGTCATAATTTTTGAGATTTTGAGAAAAAGTCATAATTTAGAATTTTGAGAAAAATACATAATTTTGAGAAAAATATATAATTTTGAGATTTTGAGAAAAAGTCAACATTTTGAGAAAAAATGAAATTTTTGAGATTTGAGAAAAAGTCATAATTTTGAGATTTTGAGAAAAAGTCAGAATTTTGAGATTTTGAGAAAAAGTCAGAATTTTGAGAAAAAATGAAAATTTTTAGAAAAAGTGAAATTTTTGAGAAAAAGTCAGAATTTTTAGAAAACTATAGAATTTTGAGAAAAAGTCAGGAACTAGTGGATGCTCTGTATGTGATGACTGCTTCCATTCTGGAGAGGATCACAGATACATGGATCCTGAGGTTGAAGCTCAAGACGCTGACGAGTGAGATTCTTCTAACATAATTCTAACACTCACAAAGCCCACTACTCACATCACGCCATAGCATCACATTCAAAACATCTTGAGGGAAATGAAGCTGAAAACATGCAGATAAAACGTGTCGGTTTGACAGATTTGATGGGATGGATGTTCGGTCACGCCTGCAGAACGCATGCTTGTAATGAGTCAGGGAGTGCAGAAAAAAATCCTGTTTCCTGTCGGTTCTGATCAACACGGATAATCTGGATGTGCACGCCAAGAAAGAAAAGCCATCACGACTTCATCTTCGGGGTAAGACTATATTCCATGTGCAGGTGTTTATCACCAATACCAGGAATCAATGTGAGAGCAGCTGAAGTTACGTAAATCAATCAAGCTTTCTCTAAAGGGGATAACACTTGATTTATAGGGTCTTAAAACTCATTTGGTCCATTCAAACATATCGACATTTGCTGATGACATTAAAGTGTTCCTAGTTAATGTGACCACTGCAGATCTTCAACAAAGAAATGCTTAATACATATTGTTTTGCGTCTGACCTGCGGAAAGTAGGAGAAGCGATGTCTGGGTACTTGGATCCCGGCTGTCTGAGTCCTGATTGGCTCGTTGAGGTTGCGGTTGCGGTTGGGCTGGATTTTGGGGAAGGGGACAGTCCTGCGTCCGGATCGGACACGCCCACTTTCTCCTTGTCCGTCTGGTTGATCGTGACGGGACTCGATCTCTCCGAGGTCACTTTCCCTTCCCTTCGTTTGGCCTGTGTGTGCGAAGTAGTGGAGTACAAATACTTCATTACCGTACTTAAGTACATGTTTCTGGTATCAGTACTTTACTCCACTACTTATTTTTCTGACGACTTTTTACATTTACTTATTACATTTTGAACCCAAATACCTGTACTTTCTACTTCTCACATTTTGAACCCAAATACCTGTACTTTCTACTTCTTACATGTTGAACACAAATACCTGTACTTTCTACTTCTTACATGTTGAACTCAAATACCTGTACTTTCTACTTCTCACATTTTGAACCCAAATACCTGTACTTTCTACTTCTTACATATTGAACTCAAATACCTGTACTTTCTACTTCTTACATGTTGAACTCAAATACCTGTACTTTCTACTTCTTACATGTTGAACTCAAATACCTGTACTTTCTACTTCTTACATGTTGAACCCAAATACCTGAACTTTCTACTTCTTACATGTTGAACACAAATACCTGTACTTTCTACTTCTTACATGTTGAACTCAAATACCTGTACTTTCTACTTCTCACATGTTGAACTCAAATACCTGTACTTTCTACTTCTTACATGTTGAACCCAAATACCTGAACTTTCTACTTCTTACATGTTGAACTCAAATACCTGTACTTTCTACTTCTTACATGTTGAACTCAAATACCTGTACTTTCTACTTCTCACATGTTGAACTCAAATACCTGTACTTTCTACTTCTTACATGTTGAACCCAAATACCTGTACTTTCTACTTCTTACATGTTGAACTCAAATACCTGTACTTTCTACTTCTTACACGTTGAAAACAAATACCTGTACTTTCTACTTCTTACACGTTGAAAACAAATACCTGTACTTTCTACTTCTTACATGTTGAACCCAAATACCTGTACTTTCTACTTCTTACATGTTGAAAACAAATACCTGTACTTTCTACTTCTTACACGTTGAAAACAAATACCTGTACTTTCTACTTCTTACATGTTGAACCCAAATACCTGTACTTTCTACTTCTTACATGTTGAACACAAATACCTGTACTTTCTACTTCTTACATGTTGAACTCAAATACCTGTACTTTCTACTTCTCACATGTTGAACACAAATACCTGAACTTTCTACTTCTTACATGTTGAACTCAAATACCTGTACTTTCTACTTCTTACATGTTGAACTCAAATACCTGTACTTTCTACTTCTTACATGTTGAACCCAAATACCTGTACTTTCTACTTCTTACATGTTGAACTCAAATACCTGTACTTTCTACTTCTCACATGTTGAACTCAAATACCTGTACTTTCTACTTCTTACATGTTGAACCCAAATACCTGTACTTTCTACTTCTTACATGTTGAACTCAAATACCTGTACTTTCTACTTCTTACATGTTGAACTCAAATACCTGTACTTTCTACTTCTTACACGTTGAAAACAAATACCTGTACTTTCTACTTCTTACACGTTGAAAACAAATACCTGTACTTTCTACTTCTTACATGTTGAACCCAAATACCTGAACTTTCTACTTCTTACATGTTGAACTCAAATACCTGTACTTTCTACTTCTTACATGTTGAACACAAATACCTGTACTTTCTACTTCTTCTTTTACTTAAGGACATTTCAAAGCCTCTTTACTTTTACTTGAGTAAAGAAGTTTAGTCAGTACTTCTACGTTTACCAGAGTATTTTTAAACACGGTACTTCTACTTGAGTAAAGGATGTGTGTGTAGGTCTGCCCTCTCTACCTGATTAGCTGCTGCTGACTTTCCAGTGGCGTTAGAGTCGATGCTCGTGGAGCTGGATCGATGTCCGCCTCGCCCCGCCGACACAGAACTGGAGGATTTTGCCGGTCTGGGCAAAGACCGATACTGAAGGCTCAGTTTTGATCCGCTACAGCTGAGCAGAGCGTCGTTTTCATCCTCGGGCTGAGATCCATCCAGGCTGGTTTTACGACCTCCACCGATAACGGGGCCTTTTCCGATGCCAGCGGATGATTTTGGAGCTTTTCCCAGCGTGGCTGATCCACTGGAGAGCGTGGCGCCACTGGAGGTTATTAGAGCACCGCCAGGAACGGGGATCTTCTTGTATCCGAAGGAGGCGGTGGTGGTTGGGCGTCCGATTCCAGAGGGAGGTTTCTTCCCTTCGTCTCCACTGCTCTTCCCAGCGTCTGAGGGCGAGCGCTGGATGGCGGCTGAACTCTTGGAAGGAGACTTTCCCTTCTCTGAAGCCTTAGCATCGTCCGTTTTTCCTGTCAGAATCAGACACAGCTTTATTAGGTTGAGTAGGTTTACACATCTGTGGAATTGTTGAATTTTCTTTACATATTCTTTCCCACCCTTTTTCCTTCAAAGAAACAAATCAATGACACGTTTAAGCACCCCTCTTCATCCTGAGTGTACCTCTAATTTCTACATAACAACTTTCTATTTCTATTCTATGTTATTTGTTTTTGCTTGCACTATTTTATCTGTTTTATTGTGTTGCACTGTTGGAGGAGCCTGCGACCTAAGATATTAATTTGTACACTGTAGCTAATGTACAAATGACAATAAAAGCCTTGAACCTTGAGCCTTGAGCCTTGAGCCTTGAGCCTTGAGCTCCTACCTGGTGTTTTGTGAGCAGCAGAGCTACTCTTGGTCCTGGGGGGTGTGATCCCCACCTGGGCCGTCATGCCCCTCCTCCACGAGCCCGTCTGGGACATCTGGGCGAGCGCGGCGGCTTTCTGCTCGGCGTCTTCGTACTGCTGGCCCTGGGTTTGAGAGGAAGAGGAAGACGAGGAGGAGGAGGAGGAAGCCTTCCATCGAGAGGATCCTCCGCTGGCGTCCATGCTCGCCTCCAGCTCCTCCTCCACCTTCTTCAGGTCTTCGGCTCCGGCCCAGCTGCTGCTCACTTCCTGCTCGGCATGCTTCGATCTGCTGCCTTTCTGGGACTGTTGGAGTCAAAGAAAATACACATGAAGATACAATACAATACTATACAATACAGCTTTATCTATAAAGCACTTTAAAACCTCCAGACAAAACAAAACAATAGAACATTTCAAAGCAATACAAATATGTCAATACCCTAAGGAGAAGATATTGGTAGATGGCTCAGTCTGTTGTGTCCTTTGAACTTGATATTGCATTTGTAGTTGGACATAAGGAAGATTTACAAACTACTTCTGATTGCCTTTCTTTAATTGCGTCTCAAACAGAACTAGAGGTTGTTCATTTTAAGGCCATTAACAGACCATTGCTAACGAGGATCAGTCATATCAATCAGTCAGCTGTGGACAACATACATTAGTTTTCTCCGTAAGAAAACACTGTGGAATACTTTTAGATATTCATTTTTATATTTGTGGAGAGCAGGACACTTTGGATTCATGATGGCTGAACTGTCCCCAAATATGTCATGTCTTCCGAGTCACTTGCTTCAGAAGCGAGGCAAGAATCCTTCCTGGCATTCGGAAAACGAAGAGTGGATCAGGCGAGCAAGTGTGCGTCATATGAGAGGCCCCGCCTTACATTGTCCGCCACAGATTTGGGGAAATTGGTCGGTGCGCAAAGCATTGTGGGGATTTTAAGGCTACACATGTGCAGCCTCGAGATTTCTCGCTACGACGAACGCCGGCCTCGGTAGATTTCCAAGTATGCTGGACATTGGAACAGTCCTTCGGCGGCACTCGATGACGTAGTATGCTTGAAATTGAAATTCCTCGACATTGAGAAACGCCCACTGATTGAAGTCAGAGAAATCAACAGAAGAAGACAGACAGGAAGTAAACACTAACAACAGTATGAGCTCTGGTCATTTTTACAGACTGATAAATGGAAAAGAAAATGTGAATAGATTTAGAAAGTTACAGAAAAAGAAATCAGAGAAATGGTCAGATTTAAATCAATACAATTATTTATAATTAATATTGTGAGACAGTTTGTTGGTTTAGTATGTAGCCGTGTAATAAGCGTGTTATCCTGGTTATCCCTCCATTGATGACACATTATCCTTTACTCCAATGTCTGTATGTGAAGCTATCTTTGGTATCAACCACGTCCAGATCCCCTCCTGTCAACACACACACACACACACACACACACACCTTGACAGATGGCCAGTCTCCCTAGCAACACCAAAGTGTCTTTAGAGCCGTTCTGTTGTATTTCATGAGAGGCCAGAGATACTTGGCAGAGTGAAGTTAAAGCTGTGAGCAGAGGCCTTCAATCTGCACTCATTTCTTCCTCAGCTGTGATTTCTAAAGCTCAAACACACACACACACACACACACACACACACACACACACACACACACACACACACACACACACACACACACACACACACACACACACACACACACACCACACACACACACACACACACACACACACACACACACACACACACACACACACACACACACACACACACACACACACACACACACACACACACACACACACACACACACACTGGCCTTGGCTTCATGCTAAACAGGCATTTCAAAAACGACGATCTGACAGTTTAATCTTTTAATAGCACTAAATGTTGTCCTGTCTTTTAGATCTAATTTCCTATAACTGCTTTGGAAACTTCTCCCTGTTCGGGTTTGAAGTAAAGTGGCACTCACAAAAGACAATTATAAACCTAGTGGTTAAAATCTGAAAAGAAGGGTCAAGCTTAAACACTACATTACCCACAATGCACCAAGTATCTTTCATTTCACCCTCCCTCGAAAGAGGCCACTTCCTTACTTTATTATGAACGGTTTTTTTTGTAAGACCTGAAGTGAGCTTACCCTAAAATCTTATTTGTATGACTTTCTGGATTATCTTTTTTCTATACATTTAGACGAACATGCTGTCTCTAAATGTCTTGCTCTGTAAGTCTAACACCCAAAAGATATTCACTTAAATGTGAAATAAGAACATTTAACTTCTGAGAGGCTGAAATCTGCATTTTCTAGAATTCTTGCAAGAAAAATTCCTTCAACAATAAATCGCTTTTATATAAAAATATCATAACAGTTGGAGATTACTTCTCTGTCAATCAACTAATCATTGCATCTCTAAATCAAAGGCTCTGGAAATTATCATTTTAACCTGATTATTCAATCAATAGGATACGGCTGTAATAGGCCTAAGGCCTTTTAGTCGCTCATAAATAAATGAGTAGATCACTGATTCTTTATTTACTATGGATGCTGGCAACAGTCACATCGTCCAAAGTGAAGGTGATGTTTGACCAGTAGTGGTCGAGGCGGGATTTGAGACAGTTAACCGTCTTGGATGTGACAACGCTTTCTGGCAGATCATTCCACAAGTCAACCACACGCAGGCTGAACAAGTTGCGGCGGAGAGCCAGTCTTGAGTACTGTTTCTTCAACTTGAGGCAGTGTCCACGAGTCCTGGTGTTATAATCCCGTTGTAGTGGGCATGATGTTTTGTAGATGTTGTGGAGATATTTGAAAACTTCGATCATATCTCCCCTCGCCCTTCTATAATACATACTCGGGATTTTAAGACTTTGCAGTCGTTCTTGATATGGAAGGTCCTTTAGTTCTGGAACCAGCTTCGTTGCCCTTCTCTGTATTTTCTCGATGAGCTCAGCATCCTTTTTGTACATGGGGGACCAAGCGACATTCCCATACTCGAGGAGTGGCCGTACCAACATAAAGTCATACATAAGAAGTTCTCCCAGGTGTTCTTACCTGACTTTCTGGATTTCTTTCAAGTGAAGCACATTTTATTAAAAAGATAACAAATGACGTCTCTAAATGTCTAAAACCCCAAAGATATTCACTTAAATGTGATCAAATGTCGACAAAAGATTGAAACGCAGCAACTTAAAATGTCCAAAAGGCTGAAATCAGCATTTTCTAGAATTGTTGCTAAATAAATTACCTTAAAATTGAATCGATTATCAAAGTAGATGCACTTTACTTCTCTGTCCATCGACTAATCATTGCATCTCGAAATCAAAGGTTCTGGGAAATTATCCTGTTGCCCTGATTATTGCACCAACATGAAGTCATACATAAGAAGTTCTCCCAGGTGTTCTTAAATGTGAAATAAGAAATAGAAATGCAGCAAATTTCTGAGAGGCTGAAATCTGCATTTTTCGAGACTTCTTGCAATAAAACAATTTTATATAAAATATCAAAACAGTTGGAGTTCATTTCCTTGTCCATCTCTAAATCCAAGACTGTGGGACGTAACAGAGCGTCGTCAGGTAAGTAGTCCCAGGTTCAAATGTTGACCCGATGAAAGCTCCAAACTAAAGTAATACATGAGAAGGTATCCCAGGTGTTCTTACCTGCGCTCCTTTGCTCTTGCGTGTCGACGAGCTGACCGCAGAGTAGGCGGCTGTGTTTAGATCGTCGGTGCTGATGTTGTCCAACGTGTCGCTCAGACCGCTGCTCACAGAGCTGCTGTCGTCCCAACTGCAGGAGGAGAGGAGCAGAGGGGTTAGGGTTAAAGGTCACCTATTATGCACAATCCACTTTTCCATGTCTTTTATCAACATGTGTCCCCTCTTCTTCATGTCTCTTCTACATCAACATGTGTCCCCTCTTCTTCACGTCTCTTCTACATCAACATGTGTCCCCTCTTCTTCATGTCTCTTCTACATCAACATGTGTCCCCTTTTCTTCATGTCTCTTCTACATCAACATGTGTCCCCTCTTCTTCATGTCTCTTCTACATCAACATGTGTCCCCTCTTCTTCATGTCTCTTCTTCATCAACATGTGTCCCCTCTTCTTCATGTCTCTTCTACATCAACATGTGTCCCCTCTTCTTCATGTCTCTTCTACATCAACATGTGTCCCCTCTTCTTCATGTCTCTTCTACATCAACATGTGTCCCCTCTTCTTCATGTCTCTTCTACATCAACATGTGTCCCCTCTTCTTCATGTCTCTTCTACATCAACATGTGTCCTCTCTGTGGAAAGAGACTCTGAAAGTTTAAAAATGAGCTGATCAGATTTTAGCCACTTTATGATGTCATAACGATGTGTTGTCTTGTGTAACCATTAGCCAATCAGCAACCAAGGTAACCCCCCCCCCCCTCTTATCACCTGAATCTCCTCTAGAGCTCCATTGAGTTCTTTGTAACCAAATGTCTCTCAGAGGGGCGTGGGGGAGGGGCTCCTTATTTTCATCTAAAGTAACAGACAGAGAATCAGCACTTTGGAAGCAGGGCTGAAACAGAGGGGATTATGGGTAATGCTGCAATGATCTGTTTGGTGTTTCAGCCAATCAGAGACAGGCTCTCTATATATCTGAGAGCTGTGATATACAGTATAATAGGGGGCCTTTAAAGTTCGTAAAACAGTTCTCTATCTGTGTTTTTAAATTTTTGTTTGACTTGTATGTACGCACCACGACACTAAGTCAAATTCCTCGTAATAAACCTGATTCTGATTCTAAAGTCATGTCGTAATCCTAACACGAGGTTCCTTAACATCTAACATTTCTTTGAGCGATGGCAGAAGAATGTGTCAAATGTTCTGCTAGGAAAGCAGACGTGAAAAAAATACATTTTATTTATTAAAAACAAACCTGAAGACCTGAAGGCTTTAAATGAGGCAACGATGAGTCATTCTTTAAAAAGGCTTCCCGAGGAGACAGGAAGATAATTGTGTTATTGATTTTCCTAAGTTTGTTCAGAACAGAGTCCTTATGCTTAAAACATGCCGTTCATGAGCCATAGTGCATTATTTTAAATGTGGATTTGAGCGTGCAAGCAGAGATTTAAAGGGGATATTGCCAGAGGCTACAAGCAAAAACGAATATGTGGTTGATATCGACCTGCCGCCTTTAAAAGGTTTGAAATGAATTATGTGCAGACACCTTGCAGCCCAGTTGTCCAGTGATGCAGGGTGGAATTGATTTGTTCTTTTGACAGATTTAGAATTAGCTGCATTTATCTTTCCGACCAGGCACACACACCTGCACACACACACTGCTTTGTTTTAGGATGGGATATTAAAGCTGCATATACGCTCAAACAATGCATTATCTTAGGCCGTGTGTTTTTGGTGGTCATGAGGCTGGAAACGTGTGTTAGGAGAAGTGAGAACAACTTTAGTGTGTATTTAACGTCTTGTTTTGCCATCATCTGTCATTTTGAAACGCCTTTTTCCTTCAGTTCAAAGCCATTATCTTGAAAGTGCCTCGGAGCAGCTTGCAGACGTTTGTCGTATACAGAGCTACTGCTGTTCTTTAATAACAAGAGGCTTTGATAAAGCTCTGGTATCAAACACAAGTCAACCCGAGTGACACACACCAGGCTCTCAGACAAAGCTTAAAGGAACATTGAAATCCTTTTCATTATTTCCTCTCATGAGCACGTAAGCCTGCCTTTGCCGACACCTAGGCTTTGATTTGATTTAAAGGCAGCGCCATCATCTCACATCAGCTGCTTCAAGGCTTCAGAAAGTGAGCTGGATGATGAAGAATATTTCCCCAGTGGCCAAACGTTGATACTACAACATAAACAAACTTACAGGTCAACCAACAGGAAGCTGAGCAACATATCTGAGAGTTGAGGTGTTCTGAAAAGAGCATCTAGTGTTTGTTGTAAAGGATCAGACTGTAGAGGAAACTTCTGTGTAGCTATGCAGTGGGAGTCACCGACTCAGGAAGGAGACACGGGAAGAGCAGTAGCTTTGATGTCAAACACATTATGGTTTATTTGGAGTTAACGGCCGGAGGATTCACATCACAAGTCCAAGAGTCAGAGGTTCTGACTTCACGGTAGAGTTGCCACGTCAATTCTGGAGAGCCTCTCTCTTGCCAGCCCATCTAACTGGTTTCGCAGAGAGTAAACAACATATTTGAGGAGATAGCCTAAACAGTGTGGGAACACAGAGCTACTTGCCTCGGACACCTATGACCTCGAAGATTTCACCTTGGAGTCCACAAATACAGAGAAGGAAGTGTCCCAGTGTACCCACAACACAGACCATCTGTGACCCAGTATTGACCGGTCACAGAATGGGAATAATAACATTATTGGCTAAGCAGCCTGTGTCCTTAAAGAAGGTAAACAGACATCAAGGTTTGTCCTGTATGTTACATCTTGGCGTCTATGACAATTATTTCCATAACACAGACGTTATCTCTTCTCTGTAAGATGTTCTGTAGGATAATACTTTAAGTGTGAATCCATCTCTACGGCCTGAATCTGCTTTATGGGATATTCTTTTTTACATTTTTCCCCAAATTCTTTTTTCCAAAAAAAAATTTCTTTCAAAAGATTTTTTTTTCCCAAATTCTTTTTTTTTTCCAACATTTCTTTTTTTTAAACAAACAAGTAAAAACATCTGCCAATAGAACAAGTGAACATTTGCTTGGTAAGATTCCGTGAAGAAGGGATATTCAGATAAATCAGATCTTGTAATTAGCTGGGAGAAAACTCATTTTGAACTATATTTGACCAGAATCAGGAAATGTTGTGTTACAAAATAAGCCGCAAATACTCAAAAGTTTTTAGTTAGTTGGTGATTTTCTAATAAATACGTAAAGAAATATGTGTTTCATCTGAGATACGACTCACAATAAGATGTTTTGACTTAACAAGATGATGCATTGTCTAAAGAAAATACCTGATATCTCACTGCAGTGTTACTTCTGAAGTTATTAAGTCTTATATCAGGTGTAGAGACATATTCTGAATAGATATTAGGCAAATATACTTGGCAAGATTTAGAGTTTTTGTAGTGTATTGTGTTAGGCCTGAATCTGCTTCATGAAAGGCAGGTTTTTTTTTTTTTAATATATATGTTGGTTTCCTTTCTAAGGTCACATTGTTCTATTGTCTGAGAGTTGAGGTGTCATGTGACCTTGTTGCCGGGCGGGTTTTTAAAGTTTTGGTGGCTGCTGGGTCAACTTGAGAATCTGATAAAGTCTCTCCTCTGTTAAGCTTCACAGTCACTGAGCCAAATGTAATGCTTTCAATAAAACAACATGCTTTAGACTCGGCTGAACTCCAAACGAACGATTCGCCTGAAGACATACAGATAAACAGAGAGGGCAAAGGTACACACATTCTTTACTCAAGTAGAAGTACAGATACTCGTGTTTAAAGATACTCTGGTAAAAGTAGAAGTACTGAATAAAGTTCTTTACTCAAGTAAATGTAAAGAACTTTGAAATGTACTTCCGTAAAAAGTACGTTTCCATTGGTCCCTCTTCTTTAGAGAAGAGCAGGAAATGATGGATACACGGATCGTGTTCAAATCAATAGGCACGCAATGACTCTAAAGAATAATGATCACGCATCAAACACACATTCAGACTAAAGGAACCAGCTGTTTGGAAAATGAGAGAAGTAGAAAGTACAGGTCTTTGTGTTCAACATGTAAGAAGTAGAAAGTACAGGTATTTGTGTTCAACATGTGAGAAGTAGAAAGTACAGGTATTTGGGTTCAACATGTAAGAAGTAGAAAGTACAGGTATTTGAGTTCAACATGTAAGAAGTAGAAAGTACAGGTATTTGAGTTCAACATGTAAGAAGTAGAAAGTACAGGTATTTGAGTTCAACATGTAAGAAGTAGAAAGTACAGGTATTTGTGTTCAACATGTAAGAAGTAGAAAGTACAGGTATTTGGGTTCAACATGTAAGAAGTAGAAAGTACAGGTATTTGGGTTCAACATGTGAGAAGTAGAAAGTACAGGTATTTGGGTTCAAAATGTAAGAAGTATAAAGTACAGGTATTTGAGTTCAAAATGTAAGAAGTAGAAAGTACAGGTATTTGAGTTCAACATGTAAGAAGTAGAAAGTACAGGTATTTGAGTTCAACATGTAAGAAGTAGAAAGTACAGGTATTTGTGTTCAACATGTAAGAAGTAGAAAGTACAGGTATTTGAGTTCAACATGTAAGAAGTAGAAAGTACAGGTATTTGTGTTCAACATGTAAGAAGTAGAAAGTACAGGTATTTGAGTTCAACATGTAAGAAGTAGAAAGTACAGGTATTTGTGTTCAACATGTAAGAAGTAGAAAGTACAGGTATTTGGGTTCAACATGTAAGAAGTAGAAAGTACAGGTATTTGAGTTCAACATGTGAGAAGTAGAAAGTACAGGTATTTGAGTTCAACATGTAAGAAGTAGAAAGTACAGGTATTTGTGTTCAACATGTAAGAAGTAGAAAGTACAGGTATTTGAGTTCAACATGTAAGAAGTAGAAAGTACAGGTATTTGTGTTCAACATGTAAGAAGTAGAAAGTACAGGTATTTGGGTTCAACATGTAAGAAGTAGAAAGTACAGGTATTTGAGTTCAACATGTGAGAAGTAGAAAGTACAGGTATTTGAGTTCAACATGTGAGAAGTAGAAAGTACAGGTATTTGTGTTCAACATGTAAGAAGTAGAAAGTACAGGTATTTGAGTTCAACATGTAAGAAGTAGAAAGTACAGGTATTTGAGTTCAACATGTAAG